GTGTGGGCAAATGTCTCTTTTCTTATTTCAAATTAGAATTATTGATCTTGCAAAAATAAAAAAAATTCTAAATTTTAAGATTTTGACACTGATTATAACATTGAATATTTTTGTACTTTTAATATTTTTATCATATCATGGCCACAAAACTATTTTCCACATTTTCTGTCATATTTTTAATTATAGATTGACACGCACAATTATGTTAACATCAGAATAATATCAATAATAATCCATGGTCTTTGATTTGCTTTGGTAATATATTTATTAAATTTTAATTTTTTTTATTTCATCCAAGGGATTATTTTATCTCACTATTGTCTATAATTTCTGTGATAAGATAAACATTTGTGTATTTGTGAAAGCACAGGTTCTGATAACAATCATGAAAATGATTTTATTGTTACCTTAGTAAAAATCAAGCTTTGTCAAACTCTAGGACATTATTTCACAATATAAGCAATATGTGTTTATTGACTAGATGCTAGTTTAGCTTTATAAATAACATATTCCTCTTTGTGATTCTAGTTAAAGAAGTTAACACTTTATGCCGAATAGGTGTATGAATATACAAATGATGCATTCAGTCATGAAAATGTTCATAATGTGTCTTTTATTTTATTTATAGTTCTTTTTGTATAAAAATGCCCAATATTATAAATATCATTTGCTGGAAATAATATTGTAACAAAATTGTTAAATTACTTAAACAAATTAATTTTTTAATTTATAATATAAGCTATTGTGTCTATTGTAAATTTTTTTTAGATGTCTAGGGAATATAAATAAAATTGTTAGTACTGTCCTTTGTAGTATTATTAGCTCTATTATCACATGAGTCCCATAACCCATTAGTCATCGATGCACCAGCTCACCAGTAAGATTTATACAGAAATATTTTGAATTGTTAAAATATTTTTGAACTGTGCATTTTTTCTTGTTTCGTATTTTCTATGTCTTGATTGGTATTTTTTATTTTGTTTAAGTTTTAGTTATGATAAGAATGATGATTTCCATTTTCAATAAAAGGAATACAGAAATTGAAAGCAATTAGTATAAAATTATCACTTAAATCATTGAGAATGAAGCAAAACAAAAGCATTATATAATTCAAATAAGAAAATTTGGGCAACAATCACTTTTTGGTTTTTGAAAAATCAATATAAACACAGCATATACTTGTCTTGTATATTTTACAAAGTTACATTGGGGTAGAAAATTTTTTCTTGGAATTTCCCAAACTTTTTAGATATTTCCTCTCAGCTGTAAATGTAAGGAACATAACAAACATGTTTGGGACATACTAGCAGGGTCAGAACTAAGAATATATAAACGGATATATTATCCGGATACAGCAGGAATATTCACACAATAGAATGGGCTGTTATGAATTCATGTAAACACCACTTGACACAAATTAAACCTCCCAGAATCTTGTCTCTTTTGGTAGTGGGAAGATAGAAAGATTCATGTCAATGATCTCATCTCTTTTCATTTTTTTTTCGTAAATTGAAAATGTATTTGATACTCTTGAAAATTTGTTGAAATGTCAGGCTTTTTAGATAAAAGAATGAGTCAAGGAACTGATTTAAGAAAATGCAAAAGTTCAATGTTCTGGGAGTTTTTGTTTCAGGTGCTATCCAAACTGGTGTCATTAGAGATCATTTTCTAGTATAAAGGGCAATTTTGTTTAATGTTTCTTGTTTACTCTTTAAGGAAGAAACCGACAAATTTCATGAAGAGTAGTTGTCTGTCACTCCTTTACAAAGGAAACAATTTTTTTTATCAATATTATTAATAGGTTTTACATAGTGATATCATTTAAGTGGTCAGTACTAGAGTGGCATCAATTAATCAATTGTTATACTCTGTCATCTATGTTTATTAAATCCCAGAAATTTCATGCTTGACTTAACTTACACACAGAATGAATTTAAATTATATTCTGATAATTTTCCATTTATCTTTTTTGCTAATCTTTATTGAGGGTGCTGGAATAATCAGTTATAAACTGGTTGATTGGTGAAACCCTAGTCAGTACATAAAATCTATAAAGTCTGTAGTTTAACATATTTTATTATGACTTTGTTTTCCCAATGAAGTTAGTAAATAACTAACTGATGTTAATAACATTTTCAGGATATATTCATATATTGCATGGGTTTCAGTTTATAATATCTATCCTTAATAAAAATATTGATAATTTGGAGCAGCGTGTCTGGTTTTATTAGGCAAACAAAAAAAAAAGGAAGTGAAACATAAATGTTTACTTACAAATCCTAGTACTTGGGATAAATTAGCTCTGTGTTTATTGAAAATGTATAGTAGAGAAGTTCTTTTTTAAGTATGAAGAATAACTTTTTCAATTAAAGAGTATTAATTTAGAATATTTAAATTCTTAGCTATAGTTCATACACAAAGTTGTAAGCTAAGGGTTTCAGAGAGATTTGACTATGAAAAAATTTGATGTAAACTATTAAATGTGTTAATGTTTAAATGCCTCCACATTTGGGCAATTAAATCTACCTAAAATTTTCATACCCAAATCTTATTAACACTCTTTACATTCACAACTGTGCAATTTTAAATACACAAAGTGAATTTTATCAATTTGAAATTTTTTTTCAAATTCAGAATTAAATTATTGCTGTTTTATCTGAAAGAATTTCATATTCCAGGTACCGATGCATATTTTTGTACAAATGATTCTTATTCATTTTTTTAAAAAAAAAAATCTTTATGAAATTCTGTAGATTTCAGTTTTACACTCTTAATATACTTTTGATCTTATTCTCCTATATTTATTTCTATAAACGTTTTTTTTTGAGTGGACATGTACATGTTTATTTTTTTTTAAACTGTTTGTCCTATCAGCCTAGACATAAAAAGTCTTAAAGAAAATTTACATGTTAGCAAGGACCAAACCCACATTCCCTTATACTGTGAAACCACCTGTTAGCTATATGTTAATTACCGTTTTGACTGTGGATGTCTCTATAGCACTCCATTACTTCTTTTTATGAAATGTACATCTGTCATTGGGACTTTTCAATCTCCATACCTGTTAACTTACTGTTTAGTGTTTACATTGTAGGTAAAGTATTAATTTAAACAATGGATTTTAATTTGGTTCTTGGTCAAGAGGTACATTTTCTTCAATAAGACTTTCTGTCTATACTAATGAACATTAATTTCACTGTAAAAATCCAAATGTGGATGTTTGCTCAAACATGTTTATACACTAAAATAATGTTTATAGCAATAAAAAATGTTAAAATATAATCAAAATTAGGTCTGATGCTGGGAAGTAGATTGAGCTGAGAACTTTTTTGTACCCTTTCATGTGTATCTTATTTGTAAAATTTTACATGACAAGTGTTATTCCTTCAATTTCTTTATGCTGATTATATTCTTAGAATAGCTTCTAATCTCCAACCTCAAAAGACCTACAGCATTTCCTGATTATTACTGATGTGAGATCTATGTTGTTCTTTTGTTACAAAGAGGAAACCTAGTGGCTAATTAGATTCTATAATTTCCAATTGTCAGGATATGTTAAGGTTGGTGCAAATGTATTCGTTATATAAAGGGCAATTGTTGACTTATTATTTTTTTTCATTTTTGTATCTATTTTTTATTTACTTTCTATTCACTTGTCTCCTATTCTCTAGCTTCTTGCATATCAATATAAAAACTAATTAACATTTTTCTCTAGTAGTTAACAGAGGACATTGATCATCACCTCCCCGCCTTTGAAATGCATACCTTGTTTTATGTTTGCCCTCAGTATACTTGTACCTGTTTTTTAGGGATGCAATTTGATTTCTGGGGAATTTTCATTATTTTATTCTTGGCCCACAAAATGTTGGTAGGGAAAATGTTAACATATCCACTTTGTTCAGATGGCAAAATTATTTTTTGTGGTCTATAATATTTAATCAACAAGTTAATTAAACATGCTTGATAATATATAATGCTTACTTGCTAAGGTCATATAACTATTGAAACTTGGTTAAATTAAAGTAGATTTTAGGATAACTTGTTATTGAGGAATTGCACAAATAAAAATATTTTTTCTTTGGAATGCAACAAAGAAATTCTTGTGCATTACAGAAGTTGAAACATTTTTTTTTTTAATTTAATGAAATTTAGATTGCCTATTATAGTTTGTCTTAGTTGCTATATTTGATAAATAAACAAAATTAACCAGATTGAATGTTATTTCTGATAATTTATTGGCTAAATTTAAATGCATGTTTTTACTTTTTTTTTTTTTCTTTTTTTTTTCTAAAATCAGAAAAAATAAAATTACTGAAATAATTGTTTTTATGCAAAGAAAAAATTCTTGAAATTGTTTTTGCTTGAATTCCAAACAACATAATTCATTTTTAATTAATTTTTCTTTACTTGGTCTTTTTATGTTTTATTCTTTCAACTTTTAATGATAGAATATGAATTTTCTTTTTTTCATATTAAATGTCCAAAATGGAATTATCCTCTAAGCAAGAATAATTCCATTTTGGACATTTAATATGAAAATGTGCTGAAGATAATTGGAATCCATGAATAGAAACAGTAGCAACAAAAACATTTACCTGAGAATAAATGAGTAATAATTAGTGATGTTTAATTAGGCTCTTTCCCTCAAAAAAATATTAGGGATAAATTTTTCTTTTTGTATGGTAGTAGTTTTACAAAATTTGAGGAAATGCTTCAAGTTAAATTATTTTTTGCATCAAAAGGGTAAATATTTTTGTTTTGTATAAAGCTTAGGTTGAAGTTTCACTTGAACTCTTGGTGATTGTCAAGAAAAAAATCAACTTTGACAATTAATTTCAGATAATGGAGTTGTTTAATTGAGGAGGGAAAAGCCTTTGAAACAATATCTTGTAGTTACATCCATATTTTATTTGATGGTGAAACTTGAAAAGGCATATTAAGTGATTTGTAGGCTAAATATCATTTTGTATTATTTACACTGATATTTGTTTTTATTTCAGGCCCAGAATAAAGAGAGTGGTGAATATGCGGCTTTGAAACAAGTGGAAATTAAAACAGAAGAAGATTTGGAAGATTTTACTGTTGAAATTGAGATCCTGTATGACTGTCAACATAAAAATGTGGTTGGACTTCATGAAGCTTATTTCTATGGTGATATGCTGTGGGTAAGGATATTTACTTTCTGGTTTGTATTCATAAGATAAGCATCTGAAAACCTATTCACACTCTGTCATGAACTCTTGTAAGTAATTCTTAAAAAATAATAGTTATCTTCTGAAGACATTACAAGAATGTACAAGTGGACAGGATTTTGCTCCATCTCATCCAGACTAGTTCAAATTCATGCAAAAAAGTTGATGTCTCTTTTAAAGATTTGATCTTTGGTTATAAAGTTTTCTAGATTATGACAAATTTCTTTGTCAATAGGATTGTTTTCATATAGCTAGTTGTATTCCTGATACATATTTTTTTTATTTGTGTATTCTCTACCTTTCATTTCAAGAGGATATATTCTGATAGGCAATAGAAAGGAAACTTTGTTTTATATATATATATATATATATATATATATATATATATATATAATATATATAAAAAAAGCACTAATATTCCATGGTTATAATTTATTACATTGGAATCATAATCATGATCCAATTCATCAAACCTACAAATTCAAATATATATATATATATATATATATATATAAAATGCGCTTGAATGACTTCATCAGTCTAAAGTCCTTAAAAATGTCGGTACCTTCAACAATGAATCAATGCTGAAAAAAAAAAAAATCTTCACTGTGAGGTCATACATTGAAGATGTAAGACTCTGCTGTTTGATGAGTGGGCCTCTGTACATCATAACAGAAGAGTGCTGTAAAATAAATACAAGGATTTCATTACTGCAAATAGGTAGTTCAGACTGTTAACTGGCTATCTTGGCTCCACAAGATTTTCCAGCTGACCACCCTCACTGAATCCAACCATTAGGAGAGCAGGTAGAATTGTAAACTTAGTGTGCCCTTGAGCCATTAATCTTGCCCCTGTTACAACAGCATTAAAATTTGTCGATCCCACACAGATCTTACCAATCACTGGCAGTCCTATAACAGACATGTGTAACTCATATCTGCTCTCTTCTCCTCTTTTCTTCCTCAGTTGCTAAGTCTGTTAATATTTATTGAGTGATACTGAACTTACAGGTCATCAGGCTTTCTTTTCCCTCCTTGGTCTGGGTTGGTGTGCTGTCCCGATAAGGTTGATTTGGGTTTCCCAAAATCTTATGGTATTGGTATTGATGGCGAAGACAAGTGTAAACCCCTCTATGTACATTATGTACCATAGTTAAGAAGGAATAATTCTCAACTTACAGTAACTTTTGGTAACTTTTGTCCCTTTGTGTCCATGGACTACTTTGAGAATTGGGGCTGGAATAAAAACTCCTTCAATAAAATGCACAACCCTGTTGATAACTCTAACAAAAGATTTATTGAACTGGGTTAATAAAATGTATATTATTTACGGCAAAATCAAGTTCTCTACTATTGAATGGTGATTTGAGAAATCTAATAGGAAACACTAAAATAATAACCATCCACTCAACTCTCACTCATATTCATCTGTCATGTATGTGGCTGTGTTTTTGCTCTGACCACAGGAATTGTGAATGTGTTCTTTAGTGATGGCTGTCTTACAATGCAATCCCAGGCAACTCCAAACCAACTTCCTGTTGGGCCTGTCCCTGTGTGTGTCTGTATTTGCTCCAATATATACTTGTTGGACAGTATAATGCAAACTAACCTCCAACCCCAGGAATTAAACAAAAGCAGATGTATTTCTTTGTCTAGAAGAATTTGGGTCACTCCTTTTCTGTAAGAATACAAATGTTTGTAAAGAAACCCCTAAATTTAATTTCTCAGCAGCAAAAAAATTTGAACAACACATTAATCATGTCGTGTTCTTATTGGTATGAAGTGGATAGGGTGGCAAACCTTGGTTTTCTTCTATTTTACTAAATCTTGGCTAGTTAATTCTGGGTTTAATTCTCCTTTGAATTGTTCTTAAGTTAATTTTATTATTTTAAAACATAATTTTTAACCAGTTTTTTTCCTTTCTTTATTTTTTTTCATTTCATTTTCTCAACCATTCAACCTATTCACCTGAGAATTTTAATAATTATTATCCAATTAGTAGTCCCTCCAAATCCCCATCCTACAATTTCATGCAATTGTTTAAATGGGGTTAATGCCCTGATACACATGGAGTCTCATCAAGAATCTTTGTTCATGAGACAAAGCTATTATATATATTACATTTTAAATTGTGGATTAATAAGTTTTTAATAGAATTTCAATTGTTGGAGTTTTCCTTTTTTTAGAAACCCCAACTTCAGTGATGTATAATTGGAATAGTATGTAAAGAGCCTGCTAGGAGTCTTTGTACTTAAAATGGCTTAATTTTTGTAGTCATTTTTTTTCTTTTTTCTTCACTTTTTTGTATTTGCTTAAAGGTGTGTGTGTGTGCACACAATTATATAATATGATTAACCTTGTACACTTGAGTGCTTTTATCCTCTTTATTTTTCTTCAATATTTGGAGTGTCAGGTGAACTAAAATCAAACTGAGGCACTAATAGCTGCAAAATATACTGTTTAGCTTTTCAATTGTCATGTAATTAAAAATTTGAATCATTTACTAAAATTATTAACTATGATAATGTCTGAAAAATTTTAATTTAGTATTTGTTTCTAATCCATCTAAATAAAAAATTTATTTTCTGAGTAGTAATAAGAAAGAATTTGTATAGTGTCAAAATTTAATAAATAATGATTGTTTTTTTGTTTGTTTGTTTGTTCTTAATGATTTGTATGTCTGCTGAAAAGGGCATTGTCACATTTAAGCAGTAATTCTTATTTGTTTAGACATTTAACTTTCATTTGTTGGAATGTAAACCTGAAAAAAAATGATTTTTATCCATTACCCTTTATTGGGAGTAGGGATAGTTACTGTAGTCAAGAGACATCATCATAAAGTTATTAAAGTTATTACTAGAAACTTACAGTGACTAATTGTCTTTTATCTGTAAGTATTTTATATTAGAAATAAAGTCAAGCTGTTGCATAATTCTTTTTAAAATTTTGTTTCTATTAATGGGGTAAATAGTTATTTATTGAATATTTGATTATTTATTGCTAGTACAGGACATCTATACACTATATGTAGAAATATTCTATATCTCTATAAGATTAGTAAATGTTTAATCTTGGCGTTTAGTGCCATTAAAATAGATTCGATGAAGCTTGCATAACATGAGCTATTGCTAATAAAAACTTTAATTTTGCTTTATGTTAAAGTTTACTTCATAAATAATCAAATGTGCATGGAAATTATCTGGCTTCAATAAAATTATAGAAAAGTATTTTGAGTTTCTTAGCTTTTTTTAAAACATTTAATAAAAAGGAAACTGAAACTAATCTGAACTAAATATATTCTTTTCAGATGTTCATTGAGTTTTGTGGTGGAGGAGCCTTGGATACAATCATGTTGGACCTAGAAAAGCCTTTGACTGAAGAACAAATTCGTTATGTATGCCATGAAATGTGTCAAGCCCTGGACTTCCTTCATAACTCTAAAATCATCCACAGAGATTTAAAGGCAGGCAATGTTCTACTAACAATGGACGGCCAAGTCAAATTGGGTAAGTTTCTTTGTTTGTTATCAGCTTTTGTCCTTCATGAGTATTATTAGCTAGTGTTGCTTTCATCTTAATTTCAGCTGCATTTTATTGCTGTCATTCTATGTCTGTTAGTCAACAGTTCAAATTAGAAATAAACATTAAGCTTCCTTTTCCCTTGAGCAACCTGTTTTGGCACAACTGCTGCCTTACTTCCAGGAGAGGAAAAAAATGAAAGGCAGAATATCAAACAATTAAAAAAAGAAAAAAAGAAAATAAAACTAGTTAATTTTTTGAGAAACCAAAAAAACTGGATGTGAGATTAATGAAGCCAAGCAACAACATGTGTTAAAATGTGGAGAAAAGCGAAAAATCACATTCATACTATCAAAACCTCCACCAATGTTCTGGTCTCAAAAAAATTTTGAATCGCATTTCAACCCTGACCACACTAAAGATGCCCACAGAAATAGAACATATACCAATATTCATCCAATCATTACAAACTTTGTCTCCATAGAGAAACAATAATGAATCTACTGTTGAGGAAATTAAGAAAGCTAATAAAAAAAAAAAAAAATCTAAGGAATAATAAAGCATCACTTGTCATTGAAGCTGAATTTTTGAAAATATCTTACCCCCCACATATGAATTCAATAATAAGTTTCTCTATTTTATGAAAGAAGTTCAGAATTTGATGTTGGGCACATTCCAAATGAATCTACCAATAGAAGAAAACAATCCTGCTTTCTCTCTCTCTCAAGGTTAATGTATTGAAGGGGGCTATGCTGATGACATAAGTATTCCTAGTTGGAATAAGAATGCTCTTGATCAGAAAATCAACATCCTCTATCAAGTGTTCAAAGAAATGGGACTCAAGATAAACCTTTTCAAAACAGAAATTATGATCTGGAATTGAAATCAGTGAAAGCACATACCCTGATTCCATCATAAAAATTCAGGCTGTGGAATTAGTAAATACTAAACAGTTCAAATACCTCGGTTTATGGATGAGTTAGAACAGATTTAGTATAGGAGAAAAGGAAATTGAACATGGAATATGCTGCGCCAGAGATAGTTTAGCCCAGCACTGCAAATTTTTACAAAATCAAAACATCAACCTGAAAAGTGAGTCATGTTGTTAAATAGCCTTGTCAGATTGAGACTTTCACATGGATGTCAAACATGGTGCCAAACTCATTCACAAATATATAAAATGTCAGCTGTGTACAACCACTTTCTAAGGTCAATGGTTAAAAATGGCTTTGAGTGAGGTCTGAGGATTTTGGCAAAAATCATCCTTTGAAAATTGTGGATTGGTACTACAGAATCACAAAGAACTATACCAAATAATAGAAATCCCATCACTTGAGGACTACCAACACTAGCAACAACTAAAATGGATATCACATGTAACTCAAAGAGTAAATAGCATAATGTTGACATTCACACTACTTCAAGTAAAATGTTAGGACAGAAATTCCCATCAATACTGAAAAGAGCAATAACAGCTACTTGACTTGAAAAACCCATTTTTATGAAAAATTGTTTTAAGAGAATTTTATAAACTTCAACTGAAAGCAGTATTGACTACTCAGTCAATGAATACTAAATGTTTCCTTGTAGGGAAACAGCTTATCTTACCATTACCATATAAAGGCTGGTCAAATCATATAGCTTTCTTTTGTTATTCATTTTCTTTGAATACTTGATTTGATATCAAATTTAATATTTACTTAAATACACTAGTGAAAGTTGTAATATTATTAGTAGTAGTAGTAATAAACTGGTAAGTCAAGAGATTATTATTATTTTCAGTCCATACTAAGGAGTTGCTATAATTAAAATTTATTATTTATGTGATAGTTCCCCTTTGTAACTTTATCCTGTCACAGTACCTGTTTTGGCTGATTTTTTTTTCTTATTTGTTTATATGTAAATTAGCTTAGTAAATTTTTTAATCATGCACTTCAGTAAATAAATAAACAATTCAGCCTTATTTCTATATCTTATTCTAACCACATAAAATAATTATATATTTAATGATACATAACATAATAATTTGTTGACTAAGTGAAATGGAAACTTAAGATAGGAGCTGGGTGAAGAATTTGTCTAAAGGGAAGCTACTCTTTAAATTTTAAATGACATATTTCAAAGTGCAGGTAAACAGCTGTTCAAAATTTTCATTCTTTTCTCACTTTATACAATTTATTTTAATTGTAATGGACCTATAAAATTGATTTATATGCCATTAATGCTGAATTTAAAATATACTTCTAATGTGTTATTTAGTGAAGTTGTAAAACATCATATTTTTCTGTGAACACTAAGAATTTGATGATGGTCTTTTTTTCCTGCATATAAAATTTATATTTTTTCTTTTACTCGTGCAGTTACATATTATTATTATAAAAGTAATATTTTAAAGTTACTGTTAGAGTAAATTAAAAGAATATAATTGAAAAGGAAAAAAGAAATTGTCCATGTACTTTGATATAACCAAGTTTATTTTTTTTTTAATATATATTTTGTTTTGGCTTGTCTTAGATTAGTGACATTGTTATTTTTCAGAAATTAAAATGAAAAAGTGTATAAAATGGTTGAGGAAGAATTATTTAAACAACATTCAATTCCTACATATTCTCCATATTATTTTACATTATTTTTTAATAATTTTCATCTGATATAAAACTGTTATTGATAAGTAAATTTAAATGATTAAGGTTTTTTTTAAAAACGTTTCAAATGAATAAAATTAATTGCTGGCAAACTTTTTGTTAAAAAAATGTTTATATATTTTATTTTTATTTTAGCTGATTTTGGGGTATCGGCCAAGAATACTAAAACTAACCAACGTAGAGATTCTTTCATTGGCACCCCTTATTGGTAAGTAAATATGATGTTGTATATAGTTTTAATTGAATAAGAAAAATGCAAACACATTACTTGTGTATAGGAACTTCATTTAATATTAAACACAAGATCTGTAGCTTTTTTTTTTCTTTCAGTCTGCATGAACTTGAATTAAACTGTTTAGTTGAAATTATTTTTTTCTAATTTAATTTTTGTAATAAATCTTTTATAGTGATAAAATATTCAAATACTTAGGAAATAAATTTGTGAATAATGATTTGTAAGGCCTTTCATATATGTTCTTTATCAAAGGGATTTACTTTCAAAACAATGCAGTTACTGGCCAAGCCATAAGCAATTATTCTCATAAAGTGGTAGGCATTTACTGTCTTTTTTAAGGCCATTCTTTTGATAAACTATAAAAAAAAAAAGCAATGTATGTTAAAAAAATTGTTCAGATTAAAAAAGGAGCTTCAATTTGTTGTAATCACTTTGTCACTCCTCTTTCTATAAAGCATTTTCATTGTCAAAGATTATCTGTATTTTTAGTTATTTTAATTCCATCTCTCTTCTTAATTAAAGGACCAGTGTATTATATCTTTGATACAATTATATTCTCTCTCTCTCTCTCTCTCTCTCTATATATATATATATATATATATATATATATATACACACACACGACAGTGGGTAAACCTAATCTGACAATAGTAGTAGTATTTTAGTATCTGTCATCTTTAAAGAGTTTACCTAAAATAGATTTTTGTTTTACTGCATAAGTAATTTTTGCAAACTTTTTAAAACTGCTTTAAAAATTAGAATATTTAAAAGCTCATCTCATTGGTATTTAAAATTCTGTAAGTTAATTTAAAAAAAAAAACAAACTTTAATTTGCAAGATGCATTAAGCAATTATTAATAATGTTGTCAAATGTATGTTTATTCATAGAAAAATTTTCATATTTAAAAATTAATCCTTTTATTTATTTATTTATTATTTTTTTTTTAGTTATTTATAATTGATTATTTGCAAAGAAATAAAATCAAAATGGAAAATATTTGGTTTCAAAAGTCATATTTGATTAATAGAAATAAGGGCCTAAATTTTTCGATCAGTAATGTTATGGGATATGGAAATGCTTTAGAAACTAATATTTCTAATAATAAAAATTATGTTTTAGAGTAATATCAAAGCTACTGTATCCTGCATTCCTGTGGTTTTGTTCTATTAAACTTTGATCTCGATTCACTCAATGGTAAATGTTATTATTTTCTGTCAAATTCAATTCCAGATTTTTATCGCTGGGGTGCATGCTTATATTTGAAGTGTGTGTCTTTACTTGAAATAAAGCTATTCATTTATTTCATGTGATACATTAAGCCATATACTGAAACAAAACAAAGGATAAATATCTTTAACAAAAGAAAGTCATCAAAGGAACATTTTTCTCTCAACAAAACTTCATAACAAAATTGTGCGAATCAGTAAAAAGAAATCCCAAAATGGACTTAATGATTAGAATGTCCTTCAAATCCCAACATATATACAGCATAACCTTCTTCAGATGCAGACCAGCTTTTGGAGTGGCTAATGCTGATTAATTTCGTTTTTTACTCCACATTTTTGTATAGTATCCATTTTTCATTACCTGTGATTGTTCTTTTAAAAATGCATTGTTCTTGTGTTTGAGTGGAGAATAACAGATGGAAAAGCAGTCCATTAAATTTTTTTCATTAAACTGCAAGGAACCATCAAATGCCTCACATTGGTCATATGAAAGATGTGAAAGATTTCTGTAATGTCCTGTGTTGTATTACATGGATTATTTTTAATCAGCATTTCTATTTGGTCATTATCAATGACTGCAGGCCTGCAAATTAAATTTTGATGTATTTTCTATTAAAAAAAAAAGTTTCCCCTTTTGCAAATGCGTGAAATTGCCAATTATTGTTAAACAAAATAAATTGATAAACATCTATAGAAAATAATTATTCAACCAAAATATTTCCTCATAGCCAAAAGAATTCTTCATTCTGATAAATTCATTGAAAGCTAATTCAATTTGATCCTGATTTGAGAGCTTCTTTCTTCTGAGGAAGCTGTTTAAATAAATAATTGTAAGCCAAGAGAGAGATGTTGAGTGGATAGGATGTAATAAAGTTTGTTTTCAATTGATTCAGCTTTAGTAATGTGAATCGGTGCTAGGTAATCTAATTACATTTCTTTTACCAAATTGGATAATATATGTTTATATAGTTTTCAATGCCTGAACTAAATTTCTTTGTACATATTAAACTGACTATTTTGAAGGAAGTTTATAATGTATGAACCATTTTTGCTCACAATAATCTACAGAAATCTTGCATGAATGGTTGTGTAGTTTTGGTTAATGTTTCAGTTTCTCTACTGCATTTTGCTGTTGTACAGATCTTCTTCTTTGGTTATTGATATAGAATCCCTCCCTCTCCAGTGATAACTCATTACACAATGGGAACATAGATTGATAAATGCAAATGTATTTTTCCTCATTTCATTTAAGTGAAACCTATTTAATTAGGCTTCTTTTTTGTTTTCTTCTTGTCTTTTAACCCCTCTACAATTATTTAAAATTGTTTTGAGTCATTCAAGTTTGATGCTTGTGCTTTGAGGTTTTGGGATCAGTTTCCACCACAACCATCAAAATTTCCATTGATTAATTTTAATGACTGATTTTTCTCTTAGTGTTTTCTTTTTTCTGAATTCTCTCTTTGCAAATTTAGGAAAATTCATTCATTTTGAGAAATAAGAGAGCTGATTTTGAGTTCCAGCCAAATTCATTATATTCACTTGCACATAAATACCCTTGGAAAAGGCATGAATCCATCTCTTCTCTCCCACTAGCTATGGGTTCAATAGCAGGATAGAATGGGTTCTATAGCCTTGGTTGGCAACCTTTCTGGAGATGATGACAATAAAATCACCCATCCCTCAGCAAGCCTGGGTCACCTGTGGGGTGCATCAGCCCAGGTGCAGCACACTGACTGAAATTCTTCAGTTGTATGAATTGCACATTTTGTTGCATGCAGAGAAAGCATTTACTTTTTTCCTGCTTATAACATAGTCTCCAAATACAGCATTTATATTCTTTGCAGCATCAGTTGCATTATGGCACAGATTGTCAAATTAGTCATGGAAAATAATTTTCAGAATTTTCTATGATAGTGCTTTAACAGTAGTAAAAAAAAAAAAAAAATCAGTTCCTCTCAATTCTGGAAATATTAATAACTAGCTTAAAAGCTGCCCTATCAGGTAGCATTGAAGCTAGCTCCTGCAGAGGGCTCTTGATTGGGCCTTCATCACAATAGGTAGAAAGGAGTAGATGAGATAGGCAACAATAAACTACAGAAGAACTCAAAATTAGTTGCTGCATTTAAGTAATGCATTGATATTTAAGCTTACCTTTTAAAAAAAGTCAATGATAATTCTGCCACCATTTAATTTAAAGATAATTTGATGTACATAGGTCCTTACTTTTTGGACAATCTATTTTTATTTTATGAGTGACTTTTGCTCAATTTTGCAATCAATTTTGATTATTCCCAAATTTATTTCCAAGTTAAAAATATTAATCGTAAAAAAATCACCGAAAACTATCGCAGTAATGAAAACTTGAGAATCCAAAATATTAGGATCATGGGTTTGGATCAGGCCTGAAATGTTTTTAATTTGCTCATGGAGTTGGCCTGATTCCCATGGATGGAGTGAGTAATCAACAAGGAAGTCTTAAAGATAATGGCATCTGAAAGAACACTTCTACTCAGAAGCAGGAAAAAACAGCTGAAATTCCTTGGATACATAATGAGGAAGAAGGGCTTGGAAAACTTAACCATCACAGAGCATTTTGAGTGTAAGAGGAATAGTGAAAGGCAGTGAGCCATTTACCTGACAAGATTGTATGAATGTATAGTGGAATTAATGGAGGGGCTCTTAGCAAAAGGAGAAAGACTGCTTAGAGCCACATGAAATAGGCGATCAAGGCTCTCCACAACTTCCTATATCCTGAAGGAATGTGGCATATAGAAATTTATCAAATAAGAATAAATTTTAAATTTATAAAATTTTAGTTTTTGATTAGTTTCTATTTCTTTAAAACTTTAAATCAATTTTGACTACTGAGTGATTCTATATTTTTTTAAATTCTTGTTTAAATAAAATTTTTCTACATGTATTGTATATGCCTTTTTAAATAAAAAAAGTAACTTTTAAAGAAAACATAATCATAAATCCATGAAAGATTTTGATATCAAAAAGTTGAATCATTAAATGGATGTGAAAAAAAAATAGCTTTATTGTTATTTAATCAAATTACTGCTGTCAGTTGGGTAAAAACAACAAAAATAATGGTGAGATATCTTATTTTTTATGTAAAAATAAAAAATGCCCTGTTCAGTATAGAAATAAACTGTTTAAACATCTATCACAGAATGATATACCATTTCAAAGTACTCAAGTAGATGAAAAAAAAAACTTACTGTATAGTTTTTACCTCAGAGGTCAACTAAAAAAGTTGACTTTGAACTTTGCCTTTAACCTTTTGTAGTTCATTTGGCTAATCAACCAATTTTCTTTTCTAAATTTGACAAACTGGTCTGGCCTGTCCTTTGGTATATGTAGAAAATTTCATTGTAGAGAACAAATGAGAACTTAGCTTGCAAGGATTTTATTGAACTAAGGTGCAATATTTAAGATCCTAACTTAAAAAGGAAGAAATTTTTTTCGGATTACTTCCCTTTAATTGATTACTTACGTTAATTATATAAACAATGTATATTAAACAGGATATAAAAGGTAAATGGCAAAAGTAGTTAATATGGAATGAAAAATTGATTGTATGGATTAAACTCTGAACTTTTAAATTTTGATTGTTTTTAAATTAATGTAGGAGTCCCAGAAATAAAACAAGATGACACATAAGCAGGTTTGATATAGAAATTATGTTGTACTGTTATTTAAACAATTAGTACAGTTCTCAGGTAAAATGCCAGTTATTTGTTGCTATGTTAGAAATATATTGTACATGTTATTTTAGTATAAGTAACTAAACATATTACTTTATTAAATTAACATTTTTTTTGAAGAAAGCCTAGGGAAATAATTTTGTAACAGTTTGTTTTAGTCTGTTGGCCTTACTCAGTTCAGTTGACAAACTCGAAACTCACTTCTGTTTGACTTAGAAAAAGTACTTAATTTATTTTTTATTTTTCTTAATACATTTTTTTTTAAATAACTAAAGTATAATTTTAAAAACAGTAAGTGCCCTTAGATTTGTATTGATATTTATCTTTGCTGATATTTATGCTGTTAAATATTAATAGCTTTTAGTATTTTTCATTCAATATTTGAACCTGATAACAGCTACTTTTGATTTGTACTTCTCTCTTAAATATTAGAGGACTATATCATTTTTAGATGCTAATATTTTGCCAAGGTGGTTCTGAGGAGGTTGCATTTGCTAGCAGATCAAGTCTGCATTTAGTCCCAATATGACCAGGACAGAGATCCACTATTGACATGATCTTCTCATTCAGGTAGTTACAAGAACCAGACACAGAGGAAGCCCTTTATACAGTGCCTTTGTCAATCTTTCCAAGGCCTTCAACCTAGTTAGGTGACTAGGTTTCTTTGTACTTCTGACGTAAATTAGATCTCACCCAAAACTGTTGAATTTTATCTTTTTTCTTTTCATGTGATGGACAGAACAACTTGATGGTTCATATTTGTTTTATTTCACATTCCTGGTTTTTGTATTTATTTTCTCAAATCTGTAGGATCTAAATGACTTAAATATGCACATTGTGGCTTTTATTTGAACATGAGAAGTTTGATAGCCTCAGAAAATAAGAACCTTCTAAGCTTCATTTCTTACTGATCAAGCAACTGGAATCATGAAAAAATCAGTCTATAATCAAAATGTAATGCTTCATTTCTTTATAAACATATATATGCTACAGTATTTTTTTTTTTTTAAATTATACAAATTTTCTGCTAATGAGCATAATGTGGGTTGGTCAAAATCTGGCTTCTTTTTCCTTTCAACAAAAATGTTTCCGTTGAAGAAATAATAATTAGCCTTAACATTTCATATGAAATATACTTCAAGAAAGCAGCTTTTTTTCTTGTATGAAGTGTTCAAAAGTTATTTCTAATCAAGCTTGAAATAAAAACTAAGCCTTTTCACCTGTTGCACAGTGCCTGCCTGTTAGTAGTTGAAAAGTAATCTATACTCTTTAGGGACATCCTGACATTTTACTGGTATGTCAGAATACTCCTGGGTAGTAATAAATCTTAAGTTTGTTTTAACATCAAGTATAAATACAATCAGCTGTCATAGATATTTTTTATTTTTTGCACATTATTGTCAGCCAAAGCTGTATATAAGTTGCTACTAAAGAGCTAAACAGTAAATAACCTGGTAAATGTAATTAATAGTGTTTATTTAAAAAACAAAGCATCTACTTAAATTGTATCTATTAAAAATAATGTATAAACAGAAAATGTGTTATGAATTTGCAACGCATAGAGATATAAATCCCAAGTTCAAAAAAAAAGAAAAGATGGGTTTGCTCAGATGGGAACGCATAAACAACAAACACAAGTTGAATATTTGTAAATAACTTTATATAACAAAAACAACAGAACATGGATAACAGATGTAAAATCAATAAAAGACACTTATCTGATGCTTGGTGTTCAAGCATTCTTGTTTCATGACTTTTGTCAGTTCAAATGTTCATAGTGGCAAATAAACAGAATCTCTTTTAAATGTCCATATAAAAGTCTGTAGTTCTTTTTTTCTGTAATATAAGTTGGATACCTCTGGAATGGTACGAGTACCTCATTTCCCTTCCAGTAATTGAATTACATCCAAGATGAAATTGGGACAATTTTTCAGAGTGTAATATTCTTTTATTCTCTATGCATCAAATAGTTGAATAAATCCATGGTCTTCGGGAATAATATCTTTTTTTTATTCACTACACATCAAGTAGTTAAATAAATCCAAGATCATTGGGAATAATCTTTTTATTCCTTACACAATAGGTAATAGAATAAGTTCATAGGTGCATCTCTCCTGAGTTCATGATGCGTCTATTTTCTCATGACCTATTGTGGTCAGAGATTATTGGCGGGGAGGGACTGAAATTACAATTCAAAAATCCCGTGTGGTGGTGCATGTCATGTGTGTTTGGGTGACCAACTTTTACTTACCTGTTTGGAGGTCAATCGTGTCTAGTTGCCAAGTGGCACAGATTCCTTCCCGCCATTTTTCAGTTGAGACTCAGTCCAGCCAGGAAATAAAAGAAAGAAAGAAGAGAAGAGGAAACAGTAAGAAAGCGTGTCCCTTAATAAATTGATCATATATCTAATTTAACATTCAACATTAAGGGTCATGTCACAATATAAAATATATATATATATATATATATATATATATATATATATATATATATATATATAAAAATTGAGTGAACAAAACAGGAAACATGTAATCTAGGTAATTGGTTTATTTGTAGGAACATAGTAAATTTCAGTGGTGAATAGAATATATTTTCGGTTCTAATAGTTTGTTGATACCTATTTTGATTCAGTCTTTATAACTGCTCAGCATTTCTGAATTTTTCACTTTAACCAACATTGCTTCTTGAAACTTGTATGTTTTTCTGTTAAGCAATCAATTTATTGTTCCATGATGTAAGAGAAAATTTATCAGTCAGCAGATTTTGAGATACATTAAAAATTACAAAATATTTAGTTATATGAAAAATTAGTAATGTTTCTATGTTTTGCTACTTAGAGCTGCTTGGTATGATTTTTAAAGCTGAATAGTTTGGTCAAAAAATATATAGTGTGATGGCATGTATTAGCATAAACCCAAGATTAGAAATGATGAATTTAAAAAAAAAAATTATTCAAAATCAAAATATTTGGAATTTAGAATAGCTAGGTTTGTAAGATTTTCTCAACACTGGTATCTTATATCTATTTTTTTTTTTGTGATAGAATAAGTGTTTCATGTTTTTTTTTTTATGCTTTTCTTTATTTGTTTAGGATGGCTCCTGAAGTTATCCTTTGTGAAGCCATCAAAGATAGCCCTTACAATTACAAGGCTGACATTTGGTCACTGGGTAAGTTGAAAATTAGTATTTTATTATTAATATTAATTATGTTACATTAAATGTTTAGAAAACTTTCTCTGTCTTCATGAGAGTTTAATAATTATTTTATAATTTTGAATTAGGACACTTTTAAAACCATTCCTCTTACTTTCCAAAGAATTTATTAAAGCCATTGCTAAATGATTTTAATGCTGTTTGAAATTCTAGCAAAACGTGTGCTCATATCATAAGTTGAGGTTAACAGATGTACCTGTTTTATCAATATTAAATCGGACTGTTGTAAAAAGAAATGAAGTTTTCCTAGTAATAAATTGCTCAACACTTAAAATAATTGTGTTTGTGTGTTTTTTTTTTAAATTAGTTTTTAGTATTAGCACTATTGCATATACCAAGTATTTTTTTTATTATAGGCCATGTAACATGACTGACATGCCCAAAAGTTTCATCTGGATGAATTCCATGGACATACCTTTTCTTAATATTTGAATTCTTATGGCAAAGTTTATCATTCACCAATTAATTTTCTCAAAAAGAATTTGAAAATTGAATAGGATTAGATAACATTTTAGTTATACACAGGTTATGATCCAAGTCAATATTTTCACAATAAAATTGGTATTAACCAACTGATATTAAAATTTTCAGGATATATGCATATTGATATGAGGAATACATCCTGTGAGTTTCAGCTTGTAATGTCATTCTTTATTAAAAACAATATTGATAACAACTTGTTTTGCAGATACCAGGTTTTATTATACAAAGTGCAATTATAAATATATTCAAAAGATATAGACCATAGAAACACATTCAGTTTTTCTTCCATTGATTTCGTTAATTTTTCTATTGTTTCAGCTTTAACATTACTTGCAGCAATTTTCATTACTTCTCATATTTTGTTTGCTTGAATGTTGTTTTCTATTCTCATATCTTTTAATGATGGACTATGTTTTTTTTTTTTTTTTTTTTTATTCGATTAATATATAGAATGTGGGCATTCTATTAATTTGGTATTTTTGTCACTTTTGGTGGGGGAAGGGGCCAAGGTGGGCAATCATCAGCTGTGCAGAATGTGATGGTGCATTGTCTTTTATGAATATACTCTTGAGGATTTAATGTTCTTGGTTGTGCTCTGGGCCACTAAAAAATCATCTTGATAAGAACTTATAGTAATTATTTGCATTTCTCTTTAGCCCTCATCAACTGTGAAGGGACCTATAATTTTACTGCTTACAGTGCTAACCCCAGACAGTAATCTGTCTCTCACCCTGTTGCCTTATTTGTGCTGGTCACTGAAGGGACTGACCTTAAGCCAAGCTATCAGATCTATCCAATGTAGCTCTACATTCATCACTAAAATGACTTTTTAGAAATTACTTTTCTTATACTTATTTGCCAAACTTACATCTTTGCAATTTTTATTTAAATGTGGCATTTTGGTTGCTTTTATTATTCTGTATCTTTTCTGTTGAAGTTTGTAACACCATAATATATTTTCTGATTGGTTAATATACTTTTTTTTACTTTTTAGCCTTTTAATTTTTCTCAAATCTTTTTGTGGCATTATTAAAGCTCTTTTTTTCTTATTTTCATCTTGACAATTTTTTCAATTTCTTTCTTCTCTGAGTTATATTCAAATTTTTTGGAATTTCTAACCTTGTGCTCTCTCTCTCTCTCTCTATATATATATATATATATATATATATATATATAATAAAATTGACTCAGTCTGACAATTATTTTAATATATTTTCTGTTTATATGTTATTTTTATAGATACAAATATTTAAGTAAATTCTCTGTTTATAATAAACTGTATTAACTACATTTAGCGGACGAAATGTCCAAGAAATATCATAGAAAATATGTTTGACAAGAATTGAACCTGTATCCTACATGGAACCATTATATAGCCTGATATGCTATACCATTTAGCTACAGAGTGAGTGTCTGGTTAGCAAAGTCATATTTCTGTTTTTAAACAACAAATTTCCCAACGGTTCATAATATATGGTGTCATTTATTTATGTTAAGATATGCTTCGAGCAGATATTATCATTTGAGAGAAATCATGGGAAATTTGTTGTTTACATTTACTTAAATATTTGTATCTATAAAAATGATGTATAAACAGAATATATATATATATATATATATATATATATATATATATATATATATATCTCAGGTCATCCCATAAGTTCTGTCCGAATTTTACCTTTTTTTAAAATGAATGAAATTTAAAGAGTATTTTATAATTTCTAATGGAGCTGAACATTATTTTTATGTTTAGATGCATTTAAACTGATCAAATTTTATTTTAGACAACAATAAAATTAAATTTTGTTTGATTAAAACCCTGCTAACATGGAAGTACCCAAGAATCATTTGAGGCACATAATGCTTTATGAGTTCAAGAAAGGAAACTCAGCAGCCGAAGTGGCTAGAAACATTCACTCAGTTTATGGAGAGGAATGTGCGAATGAAAGAACTTGCAGAAGATGGTTTGCAAAATTCAGAGGTGGAGATTTCACCTTTGAAGATTGAACCAGGCGTCCAATTGAGTTTGATGAAAAGCTTCTTGAAGCAGCCCTTGAAGAAAATCCTGCTTTATCAGTTGAGGAATTGGCAGTGGTTCTCAGTTCAAACCATACAACTGTTCATCGTCATCTTCAACAACTTGGAAAAGTTCCTAAACTTGGAAAATGGGTGCCTCATGAATTGTCTGAAAACAACCTCAAATCCTGAGTTGACATCTGCTCTTCTCTCCATTCTCGCCAACTTGTTTCACCTTTTTTGGATAGACTTGTGACGAAAAATGGATCTTTTATCGAAATGTTAAGCGTCGTAGACAGTGGCTTGGTAAAGGGGAAGGACCTCAACCACAGCCGAGAAGGGAACTTCATGGGCAAAAGGTTCTTCATTCAATCTGGTGGGATTGCCAAGGAATAATCCACTTTAAATTCTTACCACCTAATGCAACAATTAATGCTCAAATATACTGTCAGCAATTAGAGTGTTTGAACCAAGCTTTGAGGAAAAAAAGACGTGCTCTAGTGAATTGAAAAGAGGTGATGTTTCATCAGGACAATGCATGACCCCACACAGCAAGAATAACGTCACAAAAGATCAAAGAACTTGGTTGGGAGAAAATTCCTCATCCACCTTATTCTCCCGATCTTGCTCCTTCAAACTACCATTTGTTTCGTAGCTTACAGAATCATTTGGAAGAAACAGCTTTTGTAACAGAGGAAGAGGTTAAAACTGCCATTTGTGAGTTCTTTGAATCAAAGCCAAAAGAATTTTACAGTAATGGAATAGTAAGCTTGTTAATAGATGGAAGGAAGTCCTAGATAATCATGGAAAATACATTGTTGATTGAATCTGTAATTAAATATAACATTTGGTCACTTGTTTTCTTTATTCAAAATTCGGACAGAACTTATGGGATGACCTTATATATATATATATATATATATATATATATAATATCAATAAGTATGTTATCACAAATATTTATTATATAATGAATAATCATTGAGTTATATAATGAAATCTCATCTGCATCAAATATTGCAAATATTTCTAATCAAAACAGATATTTTTAAGTGAAATTTGCAGGGTTAAGTATATCCTGAAAAATGTTATGTTATAAACATCAGTTGGTTAATAATTTTATTGTGAAAAAAATGCCTTGTATATTAAAATTGGCTGTAGTGCCTGAAAACAAGATATTCATTAAACTCGTGTTATCATTTTCCTTTTCAACATTATTTGTGAATATGTAACAAAATTTGGTTTTAAGCTATAAACACATTGCTTGTAATTATATTTTATTTATCACCATTTTTACTCCTTTTAATGTGATTTACTATTTGTTATAATGAAATTGATAATGAACTGTTTTAGGTCCTTCCACTTGAGTAGTGAAAATTATTCTTTAAAGTTGATGGTATTGGTTGAAAATGTTAGATACTTTTTGGTGACTTATTGCAAAATAACCTATTTTGCTTGTTTAAGAAAGAGTTCAGAATTCTAACCTTAAAAGGAGTGTGGGTAGTGCTGAAAGATGAAATTCTTTGATATTGCCATAATGATGTGTCACTCTTGAGGGAGCAGTATCAGTGACCTTATTGCCTACTTGAGCTTCAAGTTTTCTGACTTTGGGTTCTATTGAAAGTTGCATGAAGCCAAATGGACAAAATGACATCATAGGGTTTGTATGTATGGAAATGTTGAAGTGTACTGACTGCTGCTTTTCTACCTACTAAATTCTCAGGCCACTTTTGGCAGCCAAATAAGCAGCTGTTTTGATTCAGCCTTCTCATGACTGCACAGCATTTCAGAGGTTTTCACTCTGACCTACAAGTGACTCTTCAGACACATTGTTTTTTTTCTATTAAGCAATACATTCATTGTGCCATGGCAAAGTTGGATGTGTTTGTATAAGATGAATAATTTGGGTAAATATGATATTTATTTTTCATGATTTCACTTTCATAGATTTCTGATTACCCAAATATCTGCTTCTGGTGCAAAGGCATTTTATTATTAGTTACTTAACATCTTGTGCTCTATATTGACAGAAAATATGGTTTCTGTAATAGATGTTTGTTTTGAGATTGTGCATTATTTCTATTGTGGAAATTTTGTTTACTATTTGCCAGAATGGCAGATTGAGAATGATTGGATTATTATGTTACTAAACAAACAGTTAATTAGTGGATAGATTTTTATTTTATACGGAAAAGTATTTTTGCTATTTTTTTTGTTTGATGTATTCTTAATGCTTCATACTGTAGCCTTGTATGTTTTAAGAAATATCTGCTCTATTCTGCCTCTAACTTAATGTTTCCGTTTAATCATATCCAAACAAATCTTGAACTCTGATGTTTTCTTTTTATAAATTCATGGCTTGATAAAAACAACTTGTTTTTAACTGAATAATAATTTTATTGCTTTACGGTACTGCAAGTGTTTTGGCTCAACCAAAAGGCTTTCTCACACCTTAAAATAAAAAATAAAAAAAAAAGCTGATGTTTTGGTTATTTGGTCAGGGAATCTGACTGAAAATATTTAGCACTCCATATTTCTGATAACTCATTCATTTTTATTGAATTTGGAAAATCTTCTTCAATTTGTAAAATTAACCATACCATTCATTTAATTTAGAACTGGACATTTAAGTAGTTTGTAGAATATGAAATATTGAAGTTCAAAGTCTTTCTTAATTGTTCCTTTGTTGCCTATTTCATATTAGTACCTGTTTTTATGGGGCAAGGATTCCATTTGGCTTACAGGTAACTTTGTGACTGATATCTTAAATTTTTTTTTTAAATATATATTTGGTAAATTTCAATTAATATTTTAAGTAAAATATCAAAGAACTCTAAGATATTGTTGGATGAGATTAATTAATGTTTAATAAATTATCTGAGAAAATTAATGTTTATTGACCACTGCATTTATCTTAATGTTGAAAGTAAAAACAAAATGGTATACATGCGAAACAAAATAAAATGGCCCAGTCATTTGTTATCTTGTTTGTTTTCTTATTATAATTTGCATTTTATATCCACCATGTTGAGAAGGCCATAGTTATCAAAGCCTTCAAAGCTTTATTGGCAGTGACAGTTATCTTACAAATGCTCATCATTGAGTATCAAACTCCTTTATTCATTTCTTTACAGTATTAAATCCAAATTGTAAATTCTCTATTTTAGCTTGAATTTATAATAAAAGGTCCTCACTTTCATTTTATTTACTTTTTAGAGCAGAAGACAGGGATATGTAAAGTTGATTATTTATCTTGTTAATATATTTTTGAACAGGTTTCTAATTTCTGAAAATTAAGGTAGTTTTAATAACATCTCCTCCTTCTCTCTCATATAATAAATCTATAATTCTCAGTACAAAAATGTAAAATCTTTTTTTATTACATTATTGTAGAAATGCCCCCAGTCTTGTGCTTTGATAATAAGTAAATATTTTCAATATCAATGACAACATAAACTTGATATCTTTGGAATTTATGGCCCATTATTTGATATCTTTTCTTGAAAACATCACAAATATTTGAAACCTGATGTCCTGGTGCACGTTCTTGGCAGACTCCTTTTTTTTTTTACCTTATGAACCAGTAGAAATAAATGGATGTTCAAATTTAACTCCATCTTGTCTTTTCCTGTTTTTTTTTTTTTTAGCATCTTTATCTTCTGCTAAAATAATTTCATTTAGAATTAGTTTTTGAAAATGTTAATATTTAGTTCATGTACTTTGTCTAATGAATATGAAAGTTAACTATATTAAAGAATATTTAATAAAATATGTTTGAGTATGAACCATTATGTTTTGTACACACTGGCCTATTAGGGTTTGGGAAATGTGTCTGTGTTAGCAAATTCTGTTTCTTTCTAATATTACTGAATGTTTTTTTTTTTGCCTTGCAGGTATCACCCTCATTGAATTTGCCCAAATAGAACCCCCAAACAACGATATGCATCCAATGAGAGTCTTGATTAAAATCCAAAAGTCAGATCCCCCTACTTTAGATCACCCCTCTAGATGGTAAGTATTACTTGAAAAAAAAAGAACCAGTCATATTCTATTTTTCTTTTTATTGTTTTCATCCACTTCATTTTTTTATCTTTTTGTATCTTCAATTTATCATCTGCATTTTTTTTCTCCATACTCTTTCCTGATACATTTGTCTTTTATTGTTGTTTCTCTATAATTCTTGCACGTTGTCATTTTTCAATTCAAAATAATCTTTTGGCACAAACCTATTTGCATCTATTTCTTTGTTTTGAAATTTCAGGTCAAATTTGTTCAGCAATTTTATCAGCAGGTGCCTTGTCAAAGATCCTGAATTACGTCCAACTGCCGCTGAACTTTTGGAGGTAAGACAACTTGTTAGGTACAAAAAATCAACCTCTACCACACATGAACACATACTCACTCTTACCACTACTATTGCTGTTTTTATCGTTTAGCTTGTGTGTGTGCGTTATCTAATAAACTCAGTTTGGTATTAACCAGACCAAAATATTGCTACTACTGAATATCAGCTCAACAAAGTAACTACTATTAGAGGTTTTTGTGTATGAAGCTTAAGATTTAATGCTTGTAGTCATCTATTTAACTGAAATGTAATGTAATTCTTATGGCACTCATCTACAATGGAATCAAAGAAGGTATTTAGAATTATTCATTTTGTATTTTAATGTAATTATTTTGCAATAAAAAAACATTTTCAAATCATTGTTTATTTTTAGGAGACTATTTTGAATAATAAAAAAAAAATAATACAGGTATTTTTAAAAAAAAGGTAAAAATGTGATAGCAAATTAATTTCACTGAAAATTTGTTGAACTGTAAATCTATTTTCTATGGAATGAACATTTCATAAGCAACAAGTACAGTTTTTACTAAAAAATAAATAATTCTGAATTTCATTGTTAGATTTTGGTTTTGCTGGTTAATTTAATTAGTATTTGTTGTTTTTATGTGAGACAAGTTGTGAAATATTTGTATGCAATTTGTTAATTATATTTGATCAACTGGTATACAATTTGTTTATTATATTTGATCAATAATGCCTTAGTCAATTTTTGTTCATTTATTATAAAAAACAAATCTGTTTGTTAACTTTTGGTTTTCCTCATTTTTATTTAGTTTATTCAAAAGAAACTTTGAAAACTGATTTTGTTGATTCTGTGGAAACTTTCTAGATTTGGCAAAATGTAGATCATGTACAAAAGACCTACATGGATAGAAAATAAAATTGCAGCACCCTGAGTATATACTTCAATTTATTCATGATTAAACATTTAATATAGCTGAATTATAGTAAATAATTACATATACAGCTCAATATGTTCTAGTAGTTCCAAAATGAGGGATGTATCAACAGTATTCAAACCTCCATATTATACACTATATATCCTCCTTGAATTGATATACAGATGGGGAATAAGATCTTGATGCATTATTCCATACCTCATGCTCTTGTTGACACAATAGAGCAAGACCTGTAGGTATGTGTGGTTGAAAATAAAAATAAAATGTACTGCCCAGTGCAGAGATTGAGCTCACAACCATTTTAGACTTTAGCTTTTATTAGAGATGTCACCTCTGTTGACTGGAATAAGATCACCTAGTGGAGCTCTGTAAAAACCAAGTTTTTGTGTGTAGCCTAGAGTACCTTTATCACTCAGATTTAACCCCACTCAGAATTTTTGCCAGTTGGTCAACTGCTGAGAAAGTCAATTGGAGAGTGGAAGAGAAAAAAAAAGAGAAGGTTATGAAGTCAAAACAAGCAGATGCTATAAGAATAAAGATTGTAATTTAAACTGGGTTAACTGACTGAATTAGGCAGCATACCATCATGATCCATGAATGACTGATATGTCAGTAATGCCAACATCATGTTGACAGGTATTATCATGCTGGAATAACACATTGCTTTTTGTCTTGCTGGAAAGACAGCAGAATGAGTTAAACAATGTCTATGACACTGTTCAGCATTCCCTTCATAAACATTAAAAGCAAGCAAGACCCTGATGCTAGATGCTAAGGCCTGTGTCATGAGGAAATACACTCTTGAAAGATGTCACTACCGATATTTATGTTGCACATGAAACCAACCATCACTTATCTGAATGTTGAACATACACCTCATCACTGAACACTACAGAGGACCATTTGACTATTCCCCCACCCGCTGTTGTTATGAACCACTCTTGACTCTATTGGAGATATGTGCAACAGTGTTGTGGCACAAATGAAAGTTTGGTTAGTGTCATACTTGCCTCTTGTCCTACTGCAGGTAATTGATTTTCAATTGTCTGTGTTAACATTCTTGGGGTCACATGTGCTTTGATTTGTGCCATTTGCCATTACAATATGTCTGTTTTAGCAAGCATCTTTACCAGACTGTGAATGTGAGAATGTTCATTGAACCTCTGTTATCAACATCAATGCACCAGAAACCTGTCACCTTTAATATCATAGTGATTCTCCGAAATAATCTTCCAGTCTCTCAAATGTCTACCATCCAACACCTCTCAAATGAATAAAAGGACTATGTGTGTGTGTCTCTGTGGCATGGCACCTGCTTTCATTGTACTCTTTGACCACTCTGAAACTTATCACTACTTCATGCTTTACTGTCTAAAGTGAAGACCTAGACATTGCATTGGTATAAGATGGATAGAAGAATTTGAAAATTCCATCAGAATATCTATAACTCCTTATTATGCACATAATGTCCAAAGGTTGAAATTGGCAACATTCTTCAAAGTAGGGCAATTTTATTTTCCATAAGTATATATTGAAAAGCGCAACTAAAACAATGATTATGGCAAGAATAAAAGTATAAGCAGTTTGTCATTGGGAGAATTAGGATCCTTACCATAATAAAAATTATGACTGTTTGTAGCAAATTTGGATAAAAAATATCCGTGAACAAAAAAATCACACAAGTCCAGTGCTGCTAAATTGTCCAGTCAAAACATTTTTCTAAGCAAACCCATCCAACACTGATAACCTGTCCAGCCACAATTTCTACTGAGCAAAGAATCACATAGGTGAATCTCAAAGACTGTTTTTTTCCAGTTGTATATTGAAACTGACCATCAAGATGTGCTTTATCACTGGTCACTGCTAGGTGGCATATGCCTTGTTACTTCTTCTCTTAGCACATCCCTTCCTTTTCTGTTTGGTGATTCTTTGTGGTGGTGGGAATCCACATGGTGTGTTTCTTTCACTCTGCCAAGACCATGCTCATCATCAACGGCATCACTTGCATCTGACGCTTCCAGAAATGTTATCAAGTTTAGCAGGATGACATCCTTCTCACTTGCTGGGGAGGCATTGTTGATATCCTCCAACATATTTGACAAGGATTAAATATCATTGACATGGTATGGGACTCGATCAATCTTACTGGATTGTGGGCTGATGATCAGTAATCCTGCAAAATCCAAATTCTGATGTGCATATATTCTACCTCAACTTGGGCCCCAATGAAGGTAGTGTTAATGCCTTTCAACTGAAGCTTGCATTTGTGGATTACAGAACAGCACAAATCAGTAGTGTTCCTTTCTTGAAACATTTTCGAAAATAGTTAAATGTTTCATGAGCAGGTGTTTGCAGATATGCTTTCCTGGTGTTGATGCAATGTTTTTAAATTGCTGTCACCATACCCTCATCTCATTCATACAGATATCCACACAGGCCTTATAACACATTTATTCAACTTTCAATAGTCCATTACAAAGTGCACCTTTACTTTGTTCTTCTGCACAATAGTCATTAGAGTTTGGCAGGTTCAAATTTATTTTCCTTGTTGATGTACATATGAATCTCTTGTTTATATTCTTCCCTAATCTTTGCAGACATGGGGTACTGTTGAGTTGTTGAGAGTGTTCCCGTGTGTGTGTATTCGAATAAAGACAAACACAGTTGTAGGGATAAATACTGGTATATTTGTAAGAGGTAATTAACAACAGAGTGATTAGTAATAAGGAACGCCAGTTAGTAAGTAACAATAGCAAAAGTCTACAGTCCAATGGTATGTAATGGTAGCCTGATCTCGACTGCTGTCGCTGAAACCTGATCCTTCACACAACACCACTACTCTCTCTAGCACTGACTTATATCGTAGAGGGATAAGTCCATTATCAGTCAGAAGGTGGGTGCGACCCCCCCGGTTTTTATATTGTGAAAAAAAAAAAAATTTTTTTTTCAATATTTTTTCCTTTTCGGTCCATTATGAATTTTTTGCATCGCTTTTTGGTTTTCTACCAGATCTGCGCTGTTTTTGCTCTGTCTGTGGTACTTGTAAATCAAAAGTATCGTATAAATCGTATAATTAATCTTCTTGGGAGTTTCTTCCGATTCTTGATTACTCCTTTTTTTTTTTTTTTTTTTAGCTGGTTGATGTGCCTTTTATGGGTAAATTTTTTCCCTTGTACAATGTACACCATATTCCCAATCCGCTTTTGTATGACTCCTGGTTCCCACGATGTCGCATTATTTTTATAATTTTTGAAAAAACTTTCATTTATGTGAAATTTTCACTTAGGAACCATAGCGACTGGTGTGTGTACCTTATTTTCAGGTATCAACTTGTCAAATACAGGTCTGATCTTCCTTGCAAACATTAGCTCTGCAGGTGATAGGCTTGATGGGGCAGATTTATTCAGAATAATGCGGTATACTTGCAGGAATAGCTGTAACGCCTTTCTAGTCGGGGTACCTGTTGCTTTTCTCAGAGCCCATTTTAACGTATCGACGAACCTTTCGGCTAGTCTGTTGCTGCATGGGTGATACGGAGGAATCCTCACATGATCAACTTGGAAATTTTGGCAGAATTCTGCAAATTCTTTGCTCGTGAATTGAGTACCGTCGTCACTAACTACAGTATCTACCACTCCAAACGTTGCAAATAGTTCACGCAATTTATTAATTGTATTTTGAGATGTTGGCCTCTTCATTTGGAAAACTTCGGGCCATTTACTAAAGCTGTCAACTACGACCACATAATGCCACCCGTCAATTGGACCCGCAAAATCAATATGAATCCTTGACCATGGCCTGTCGGTTTTTGGCCATGGCTTCTGTAGAATTTGTGGTGATTTTGATGCCGAAATGCAGCCTTTACATCTGCCGACCATAGACGTGATGTCGTCCATACCTGGCCAGTTGACGTATGCTCTCATGAGGCTCTTCATTCTATTTATGCCCGGGTGACCAGCATGAAAATCTTTTAATATTCTTTTTTGGAGTGTACTAGGGATTACTACCCTTTCACTGTATATTAGTACATTATCACACAGAGAGAATGTCTCTTGAATTTTTTCGTCTTTACTAGCTAGCTTATCTTTTATTTCTATTATATATTTGTCCTTTTCTGCTTCTTTTTTGATGTCCTTGAGCGATACTGGTAATTCTCGAATTGCGTTCGTCAGATTTTCTTCTGCTCTGAGGGATGCGATTACCGTATCCTCTAAAGGTTCTGTTGCTTTTGGAATGAGTCTTGAGAGACTGTCAGCGTGACCAATTTTGTGGGTGGACAGATATTGTATCCTAAAATTATAATTTAACAAAATTGTTTCCCCACCTAAGCAATCTATTTTATGTGTGTAGGTTGGCAACCCTTTTTTTTTAACCGAATATCGTTACCAGATGCTTGTGGCCTGTCTGTAGCGTAAGATACCGTCCATGTATGTATCTATGGAATTTTGTTACAGCGAAGATAATCGCCAATGCCTCTTTTTCAATTTGTGAATAGTTTCGTTCAGCAGGTAGTAGCAATCTGCTTGCATGAGCGATCGGTCGAACTTTACCATCCTTCCACTTGTGCAATATGCACGCACCTATGCTGTGTGTACTGGCATCGCTCGCCACGATGATATCTACCTTTGGATCAAAATGTACCAGAAATAAATCTGATGTCAATTTTTCTTTTATATACTTAAATGCTTGCTCGCATTCTTTTATCCAAATCCAAGGTTTTTCGTTTTTTAGTAGATCGTTAAGGGGAGCTCGTAGAATGTGGATGTCTGGGATAAAATCTTGGTAATATGACACCAAGCCTAAAAAACTTTGTAGGGATTTAATATCCTTTGGCTCAGGCATATTTTTTATTGCTGATGCTCGACTTTTATCTGGCTTTTTCCCTTCTTTATTCACTATATGTCCCAGATACTTGATCTCCTCCAGGAGAAAATCGCATTTATTTTCTTTCACTCTAAATCCATAGCTTCTCAACCTTTCAAAAACTTTGCGTAAATGGTGTTTGTGTTCATCCACCGATTCACCTTTCACAAGTATATCGTTGAGATATGCTATCATGTAGTCTAACCCAGATAACATAGTATTCATAATTTTCTGGAATATTGCGGGTGCTGTCTTCACCCCGAACGGTAAACGTTCGTATCTGAACAAGCCTTTATGCGTGTTAATGCATAGCAACTTTGTGCTTTCGTTATCCATGGGTACTTGCAAGTATGCCTCGCTAAGATCTATTTTCGAAAAGATTTTTCCACCATTTAAATTTGCAAACACTTCTTCGGGACTTGGTAGTGGATAGTGATACTCTTCTATTGCGTCGTTTAGTCTGGTTGAAAAATCGGCGCAGACGCGAATTTCGCCGGACTTCTTCTTTACGTAGACAGCTGGAGCTGCCCAGTCACTGTATTCCGTTTTCGAGATCACACCAATTCTCGTTAGTCTTTCGAGTTCTTGGTCAGTTTTTTCTAATGCAGCAAAAGGGATGCTACGCTTTTTTAAAAATTGTTTGAATATTTTTCTTCAGCTGTATTTTTGCTGATGCTTCTGTGCAATGTCCAAGTCCTTCAGCGAAGACTTTGCGGAATGTTATTTTCAATTCTGTTTTTAAATTGCTTTCACTAATGTTGTTACAAAAAGAACTAATGGGCACGTCCCATAGATTGAACTTAGTGATTGCGTCAGTCCCAAACAGGTTGTTGGTGTTTTTTTCATCACAAAAATTTTCATTTTAAAGTCTTGCTGTTGAAAGTTATATTCACCCATATTTCACCTTCAAATTTTATCTTTTTTCCAGTTACCGTCCTGGCTATTTTGTTGGACTTTAGCAGCGTTGGCTTTCCTAGATTTTTCCATGTTTGTGTGTTAATAATGGAAATGTCAGATCCTGAATCTAGTTGCATTTTTACCTTCTTGTTGTACATTTTTACATGTAGGTATTTTCGAATATTCAGGTCTTGATCTTCGTCTGACTTAGTAACTTTTACTCGACTTCTGTTTAATTTTCTACACTTGGACATCTTATGTCCTACTTTCTTGCAATTTCTGCAAGCTTTATTTTTATATGGGCAATCATTGTACCAATGCCACTGGCCGCATCCATAACATGCACTCGGAGGGAGTTTTTTCTATAGTCTCTGTTTATTCTTGTAGTGGGATACCACTTCTGTTCAGGCGATGGAGAACGGAAACGAGTCTTCCAATATACTTTCTTCACATTTGCGATAGCAGTTTCTTCTATTTTCTCTGAATCTTGCTTAATGCTTACGCATTGCTGACAGTACTCGGCTAGCTTTTGTAGTGTCATGTTTTGGTCATTTTCTAGCTTTGCTAAAATGCGTCTTTGCATTTCGCTATCTTTTTTGGACACTAAGCCTAGCACGAATATTAGACACTTGGAATTGTTCGCCGATAATTCGGACAAGCAAAAATCGTCACACGTTTATTTACGATTGACGCGAACGTCGTGTAGTCTTCCTGCTCGCTTTTTTGAATATTAAGGCATTTCCACCTTTTATGAAATAATAATAATCTGGGATTGAAGAGCTCTTTTAGTAATTCAATTGCTTCGTCGAATTTTAAATCTCTTGTCTTTTTGGGTAATATAAAGTCTGTAAACTTATTATGTTCTGCTGTTCCCAGTTTTCGTAGTAATAATCTTATCTTTTTCTCGCCTGTCCATGTTTGGCAATCGACTTCATAAAAGTCCTGATATCTATGGTAATATCTTTCGAAAGTCTTTTCCTCTTCTGGGTTATAGGTAAAACTTTCGATCGTCGTCATTATATTGTGTCTTGAGAAAAGTACTTTCATCCAGTCTTTCTGCTTAGACAGTATAGCTTTATTTACAAGTTCAGTCATTGCTAACTGTTTCTTTTCATTTTCTTCTTGTATTTTCTGAAAATTCAATAGTTTTTCCTGAAAACGTTCTTCACTCTCTTGTTGTCTTTGCATCTGATACTTAATGAGTTCCAGCATAGATGATTGAAATTGCTCCATGATTATGTATGTGTAGAGAAAAAAGAAAGCAAAATTATGTGTGTATTTTTTTTTTCTCTCTGAGGGGGGCCAAAAAATTAATCAAATTCTCTGGCACAACATTTTTTTTTTTTTTTTTTTTTTTTTTTTAGCACAAAAAATTGGTTATTAAAGATTACAGTTTAATCAATAAGTTAATGTCTAACTTACAGTTTTTTCTTTTTGTCAAACTTTTCAATCCTTTGCTGTGAAAAAATGCTTGAACTCTTTTGAATTTTTCTGAGTTGAAAATTGTTTCTTTCGCTGTTGTGATATTTATTTTTCAACATAGGTTCTTTTTATCCGTTCGAAGCCTCATTGCCACTGTTGAGTTGTTGAGTGTTCCCGTGTGTGTGTATTCGAATAAAGACAAACACAGTTGTAGGGATAAATACTGGTATATTTGTAAGAGGTAATTAACAACAGAGTGATTAGTAATAAGGAACGCCGGTTAGTAAGTAACAATAGCAAAAGTCTACAGTCCAACGGTATGTAATGGTAACCTGATCTCGACTGCTGTCGCTGAACCTGATCCTTCACACAACACCACTACTCTCCCTAGTACTGACTTATATCATAGAGGGATAAGTCCATTATCAGTCAGAAGGTGGGTGCGTCCCAACAGGTACCCTGAAACCTTATTCTTTAGCTTCTTGAGCTGCCAATTACCTAAGCATTTCCATATTAAGATTCAGGCTGATATCTTTATCCTTGTGTGATCTCTTCAACCCATGAACTTATCCATATGTTTAAAAGAGCTGTAAATTTGACACTACCAATCTTCTACAGCAATGTCCTCTGGCTCAGGTGAGGTGCAATAATCATGAGGTGCCATGGTGTTAGTTTATTGATCAACAAGAGTACCATTACTATCACAACTTGTGGAATGTGGTGTATACTGTACAGTGTATTGAGTGGTGCCAACATTGAATTATGAGTTGATGCAATGCTCCCCTTTGTTGAGTGGTTACCTTCCTTGTCAGTTGTCAGAGCTCTGATTCTTGTATCACCTGTGGGTACTCAAAGTTCATGTGCCGTTGATGTCTATTTAGGATTCACATATTCTTGGCATTAAATCATGCCTGTGTCCCATGGCTGCCACAGATATATTTAGGTTATATATAACATCTGACAAAGTATATTCTATAAGTGGGGGAGGGCAAAACCATCCAGTGGACTTTTTTTTTTTTTTGTACTTGGGTTTATACATTTATTGCTTATAGTATTGCCAACTATTAATCAATAATAATTAATACAGAACAAATGCTATATAATTATGATTTATATTATGATTTTCTCTGTCTGAAATGTTTGCTATTCATTTTGATGTGAAGCCTTATAAATCTGAATGTGTAAATGATTAACCAAACTGAGGTAGTATGTTAACATTTTATTAATTTATTGTATGGCTTTGAATAAAGTTTATTTTATGCCAATAACTTTTCATTGTCTTTTTTTTCTTCAGCATCCATTTATTAAAGATTTTACCAACAATAAATGCATACTGAATTTGTTGAGTGAGGCAAAAGCAGAAGTTGAGGAAATTGTCCAAGACATTGATGAGGAAGAGGAAATAAAACAAATGAAGGTAAAGATAATTTTTGATTACATCATCATTGTTTATATTTTCTTTCTTTGCAGATTCAACACTAATATTATTTTTTTACTCTATATTTAAAGTGGATATTGATTGTAAATCTGGGAATGTTGCCATCTGTGGGAAAGCAGTTGGAAAAGCTTAGCAATATTTAAAAAAAAAAATTTACAATTTTTATTAATCCAAGGATGAAATATTAAAAATATTTCAACTGGCATTTTAAACTATTTTTTTTTTTTTTTTTTTTTTCAATTTTAGATTCCTTGTCTACTTCATTATTTCAATAATTAAATACTGTCCTTCCCACTGAAAGAATAATATTTTTTGTAATAATCTACCTAAAAATAATTTCAGCAGTCCAGCTTTAGATTACTAAACATAAATTGGTTTCAATTTTTCTGTTTTTTATCTATTTCTATGAAATAATACTCGTTTCAGGGTTTAAAAGAAATAATGCAAAAATTAGTTATCTTTTATTCTCTACTCTGTTTCAAGTTTCATAGCTTTGGACAGTATGCAAACAGTATTTAAGCTTTTCTTTTCCATATTCTTAATTACACATTAAATTCATATGCATTTTTATTGAAAGTTAAATTTTCTAAATTGCTTTTTTCATATTTATCTAGCATTATTTAGATTTTGACTGTTAAAGAAAATAATAATATTTAATAATTTGATGATAGGACATTGCTACTTACTGCCTTTTTTAATACTGTCATTGCAATTTATCTTAATTCCCAATAATACAATTTTATTCATTTTTAGTGTTTTAAATTGTTTTCTCATTTAAAGATGCTTACAGATTTGCTTGTTTCATGTTAAGATGCAACCAGTACAAATGTTGGTAATCAATGGTTACCAGTAAGATTTGTATTTGGCTTATGAGTAAAAAGACCACATAAATCATCAATGTAAACTGATGATCAATGAAGGCAATAATAATTTAATCCAGATTCAATTTTATTTTGAAAAACATTTAAAAATTGACAACTGATAAAACAAAAAGCAGAAAGTAATTTATTTCTAGTGCTCATAAGATTGGAAGCATCTCTATGAAACAAATTAGAAATTATTTAGAATTCTGAAAATGAAGTGAGAAGTCATTTTCATAAAAATTTAAGTATTTAAAATTACTGAAATAGTGCTATAGAAATGCACTTAGAAATGTTTCTAGATGTAGTTAAATTAAAAATATATTTTCAGTTTCTTACAGTTTTCTCCCTTGTCCTCTTGGGCGTTTTCTAAGTTTACAGAAAAGTCTCATTCAGGCCTCATTTAGTGAGAATGAATTAATGATAACATGATGGGAGAAACATCATCAGCAGAGAAGATTCTTGAAAAACACTTTCACTGAATGCATGAATGACTGTATCTATTGAAAGACATTTTTTTTAGTGTATATGTTTAAATTTTCAACAGAGCATTCCAGAGCATGATGAATCCATTGAACTGGACAGGATATCAAATTTGAATGTGGATGAAGCAGAAAAGTCAGATGAAACTAAGATTAGTAAAAATGAAATGATTGTAAGTATGAGTCCTGCCATGATCTGCTCTAAGCCAATATCGCTTCTTGACTCTCTGTCTGGTTTCTCTTTACTTATAAGGAACTTCAGACTCCATTATTCAGGTTAGAATAGTCTGCTTTTTTCATGTTTTTTTTTTTCTCATTTTCTTTTTTCTTCCAATCCTTTTATGTCATTTCTCTCTGATAGAGAAACATATTTTTATATAGCATAAAAATAGGTATTGGTGCCAAAACTGCTGTCTCTGCTCTTTTACAGTTTACAATTGTTCTCATCAAAATAGAATATGTTAATTTGTAGCTGATAAAGCCATTTGAAAATAGTTTTAGTTTTAATAAAATCTAATTAGATAGAATGAAATTTTATAACACGCTACACTACAAAGATTATTTGATTTGTATTAGAGATTAGTTTGCAATAATTTCAGTTAATAAATCTATTTCCATCCTGAAATGATAATATACAATTTCTGGTAGATTTTTTTATTCATTAAATAATGTAGTTTTGGTATTGATTAGTGAGAAGTAATTAGTAATCTGTAAAAAAGTTTGAAAAGTTATAAAGATGATTTACTGATGTCAAGTTACTTGGATAAGTGAAATGGATCCCAAAATTGCTTTAGACTCATCTACATAAAATTGAACCCCCTGAACCAGATTTAACAAATGAGTATACAATCAAAATAAGTTATAAGTTCTGTGGATGTGAATTTGGTGCTCTATATTGCTTTGATTGATTAACATTTATTGTTTTTTGCTTTTTCTTATTCTTTTCTGAGATGAAAAAGTAATAAACATTTAAAAAAAACAAAAAAAAAAACAACAAAAACACAATATCTTTTTTTTGTCATTATTTATATTTTATGCACTACAATACTGTTTACTGCTTGGATATTTGCGTCTGCTTTTTCCAATATTTTTTTCCTCTTTGTATTCCACTACTCAGCTGGAAACCAGCCAACTTGTCTATGTGACTTTTCTATTTATTTCTTGCTTATATTTTCAGAACAAGATTAAGCATCACACACACACACACACACACACACACACACACACACACACACACACACAAATGAATGAATATTATTCCATTGCTATAAATCTACATTTTCAGCTTCCCTCCCTACACATTTTTATTTTTAATTTTTTTTTGTATCTTTTGGTACTTTTTTCTTTTCTAATTTATTACTTATCAACTTTTAAAAATCAAATAATGGAGATAACTGATAAATGTAACAATCTTTTTTCATTTTAATTCTTAGTTTAGAATGATTATTATTATTTCTTAACATAGTACAAATTTTCCTCTTTATAAAGATTAAATTTGTTTTTAAAGAACAAATACCAACAACTTAAAATTGTTTAGCATTTCAGATTATGGCTATTATTTGATAGCACTGCTTTCAGTGGGTTAATTGACTATTCCCTTTATAATGATCTAGTAACAGCATCTTTCATCTGTTTATATTTTTACATTGTTAGGCGTCATATTGTCTGTAGCAGAAGAGATAGGGACAGAAAATGCATGACTATAATATCAGTGTACATTTTCATTCAATGTTATGTAAAGAGAGAGAAAAATAAAAAAGAGAGGAAAAGCAAGTGTCCAAAACTCTTAATTAGGGAATGAATTTGTCTTGGTCACCTGGGAAATAAAACCCCAAGTATTAGTGGCAGTTCCCTTTCTTCCATATTTCATTGTGTGTCTTGAGTAAACAAACAGAACAAGTATCCATTGCACATGAAATGACCTTGGTTGTTTCACATCTGGATGTTACCACAAACTGAACCATTTCACTTGGAGGGCTCTCTGTTTTTAGCCTACCTACCTACTGGAAGCTTCAATTCCTAACTGCCAATTTTAGTTTTTCTTCTCTGCTACTAAATCTGTGTTACACTCTCATTTCGTTAGCTAAGCAGCTTCTAGTTTAAAAGGAAAATATTAGTGCTTTCTGGTAAGGGAGCAGGATGTATGTGTCATATGCAAATTTATAGATACATCAGCAACAGTCAACAGAAGCATGAAATTTACACATATCGCCTCAGCTTTGTCTATAAAGCTTGAACTAAAGTTGATTTTTTTTTTTTCTTTTAACATACTGCACATATTAATTTATTGCTTTAGGTGTGGTGTTTGGTATCATAGTTATTCTCAGAAAATGTCTGTAGGATTCAAAAATTGTTTATTTTAGAGTAGATTAAGTATCTTTGAGCTTTTTTGCTCTGGCACATCCATATTTTGTAATACGGTATGCAGGTGATTCCTTTCATCATATATTGATGAAAGGTTGTATCTAATTTTTCTTGCAATTTTGACAATTTTTGTGAAAACTTTCAGTGAAATGTTTTTGTTATTCCTTTCAGTATTAAAGAAGAGTTAAGTTCATATATTTGAAATATCACACACACACACATCTTTAAAAGTCTGAAAGTAACACATGATGGAATCTTAAAAATATATGCTGATATGTGTTATGTTTCTTGTAACATGGTGGAATGAAAACTATTTACATATAAGTAAACTTTCATACATGAACATGAGTATCATGGTATATAAGAAGTAATATTAAAACATAGATATGGAGATTTTTTTTTATTTCAGAGTTTAATTAGAATTAAAACAGTTTTGATGAATTTCATTTTAGATTATTAAATTTACTTAGATAATAGAATAAAAGCAAAAAAAACAAACTCCTTTGTTATTTTAATGTTTAATTTTATTAATTTAAAAATTTTGGCCTTAATTGAATTACTGTTATGTCATTGTATTTTTAATTACTGAAAATAACTAATGAAAACCAGTTTGCATGTGCTTATTGATATTCATATATAAATAAAAATGCTTCTATTTCAATATTAAAGAAATTAGTGTAGATATTCTTTGTCATTTTGTTACAGTGACAATTCCATTTATAGAAATATAGATTATCTCATAAACTTGTCACTTGTGTTAATCATAATATCATCGAATTATTATGTCTAACATGTCACTAGAAACTGATTTTTTGGAATAACACAAAATGTTAAAATAAGCAACAAATTTTATGAATAAAGTAAATCCTTAATTGTTTTTTGTTTTTTTTAATGATTTGTAAAGAACTGATATGTCATTGATAAATCATGTTTGTATATTGGAATTGTGAAACTTATCCTGTTAGATGTATGTTCTGTTATTAATCTTTAACTTCTATGAAAATGTCCAGAATGCAATATGCAGATCTTTGATTCTCTTGCATAAATATTTTCAGTGTAATGATTACATTCATTGAAAATATTTGAATCTCTTGCATAAAATGAGGTCCTTGGACAAAAAACAGGGCAATGATTGCAGGCAAATTTTCTTTTCTAAATAATTTGAACTTTCTCCCTTTATAAAAACATTTTACTATGTGTATAAACTGTGTATTTAACTGGATATATTCCACTAACACAACTTCTTTTATTTTGGTTTCTCATTTCTGAATGTGCTTGTACCTTTTATTGATACTGGTTATGTGGTTTGTCTCTGTCCATGGGCACTTTATTGGACATTTATTGGGAATATGTGATTTAAGGGCATCAGAACATGTGCAGTATTTTAAGAACAAGTCACATAATATAGATGCAAATTGCACCAACATTAAGAACAATCTCAAGCTGCCTTAACTGAAATGAAATTCACTGCAAGACATTACTCAAGCTAAATATTTTTTTATTTTTATTTTTTTTTGCTGATAAATTTCTCAAGCATCCAGGAAATATGGAAGCCTGACTGTACTCATATCATGTTGCTTGCATTCCTTTACACGCATTAAAAACAGCATTAGCTGAAATGCACGTTCACAAAAACCTATTCCAACAGCATGTGTTGGTTTTCCTTTTTAAAGTCACATCTACATTTGTGTTGTTATTTTCCATCAGCAGATTAACACTGATAAAGATACTCTGCCAGCACCTCCAGATTCCAGCACTTCTCAACCTGTGCCTCCCAGTGTTGCTGATAAAAGCTTACCAATGAAAGAGAAAACAATCTCTGATTCTAACAGTGTTTCACAAGATGCAGATGAAGTTATTGCACAAGCTGAGCCTGTAGCTGAGATTCTCGAACTTGTTGCACAAAAACCATCCACATTGCCTGTCACCCCCACTGCTGATGTTAACAATGATCAAAAAGCACCAGATCACACAGAGGACCTTGACCGGTCATCTGATGAGGGGCTTGGGCCAAGTGGAGATGAAAAGTCTGATGCTAGTCCGGTAATGTTCTCTCCCAATTCATCTTAGCCCCTTGCTTCTTGCACTTTGCTTCCTTTTTTTTTTTTTTTTTTTTTTTATTTTTTTTTTTATAGAATAAACTTTGATAAACTCAAGTGGTTAATTATAAGCAAGTACAAGAAATTATTGATGATAATTTCTTTTTAAACTGAGTAAAGATTCATGAAGTAATATAAACTCTTAAAATTAGCAATGCATTTAGTTAGCAATATTTGATTTAGAAAAAGATATTTATTTTGTGTATTGTCTTTTAATTATGCATGTATATATTGGATATGTGATAGAATTAATGTAATAATATTTGACAATTATTGTACTATATTTCTTGTTATGCTTTCTCTCATGGCTTTTTATCATTTCATTTGCTATGTTCTAAAAAATAGTCTTACAAAGATGCAAAACTATATTTCAATAATTTAGCATCTGCTTTTTAGTTAGAACATTTCTTTTATGCTAACAATGTCATTTTTATATTATCACAATGAATATTTTTTGTTTGTTTTTGTACAGGGTTTGCTTTTGTTAGAATTCATTGTGGATAACTAAATATTTTAAGATCAGTCAAAGATTTTTCTGAATTTGTTAAACCCTTTTTATATTTACTGACCTGGATTATCATCCTATACAACATTTATGACAGCTTATGGCCATATCACTTTGAAACACCTGTTCCTGTAGGATCAAAGAAATTAAGCAACATCAAGCTTGGTCAGTACCTAGATGGGTGACTGCTTAGGAATACCAAGTACAATAAGTTTGGATGTTCAGGTGCTGATAATGGCTCGGAATTTTTAATCGAAGAGCAGTATTCAAATTTCAGTTGGGTTCTTTATATTCACTTACACACAAATATCCATGGGAAAAGTATGAATTCACCTATTCTCTCCCCAGATATGGGTTAATTAGTAAGACTTGTATCACTAAACCATTATCTCAAAAAAAATTTCTTATAACCTATACATATTTCCTGGCTTTAAATAACCTGCAAAGGTTTGATAAACCTTATAAAATGAATCAAGTAAAAAAAAAAAAAAAAAAAAAAAATCAACCAACTTATGGCACCTGTATTTATTACTGTTACTTTCTGGTCCATTAGGATATTATTCTGGTGTTACAGAAACATTTTACATTTTTTAAGTATTTCATGAGTCCAAATTAAGAGAAATCAACTGCTGACGATAATTGCTGTACTTGATGCTCATATACCAATTGTCTTGTATTGAGTCATGCAAATCTATGAAAAAGAAAGGAAATGATAGCAATAGTCTATACAGAATGATAAAAATGAGTTATTGTTACATAAAAACTTTTCTCAGTTTTTAATATCCTGTTTGTTCAGTTATTGATATTCACAACCAATGGTACCTAGCCAAGTTTTCTATTCAGCCCATTATTTGCTTCATCATTTCAGAGTTGTTTTATTTTTCTTTAATTATAGTTTTTCTTGGCTTTTAATATTACATTTGATGGGAGACAAACTTTCCAACTAGCTAATTTATTAACCTCTTAAAAGCTTATGACTGGGCAGAAATATATTAGTTATAATATCAATGAATTTTTGGATGAGAATATTTTGCAGAAGCTTTGCCATTTTATTTAAATGAACTTCTTTTCAGTGTTTGAATTCCATATCAATGACTTTTAAACTAAATCAAAACCTCTTTTTCTCTGTTGACCAATATTACACATTATACAAATATATTAAATATTCTAAATAAAATTTAAATAACTTTGGTATCAGTAGATTTCAACTTTCAGACTGTTGTATGAATTCAGCATTTTATCATATTTTGTAAAATAGGTTTTATTATGGAATTTGACAGTGCATTGATGTTGTTCATTTTTGTTAGTATGCAAATAAGAAAATATGTTGACTGTCATTAATGCCATGAAAAGATGCTTCTTTATGGCTCAATCGGCATACTTCTTACTTTGATTTCTCTTTAAATTAATTGATTTCTTGGTGATATGTGGAATAATACATTGTCTTTTAATTTAACTTGTGCTTTAAGAGCCACAAGGATAATCTTCTTTTTTATTTTATGTGCCATGTCCATTTAGGATGATTGGTGATCATGGCTCATCACAATTCCCTACCCTTTGTAGCTCTTAATAATTTTTGTCTTTTTGACATCTCTCCCAAACTTTGCTTTGTCATCCATTTGCTCAAGCTCACCTGCTAGGTTGTGCATTACTTTCTTTTGGTCCTCTTACCTTCAATCTGTCATGTGAGTATCAAATTTTCCAAGCCTTCTTTCCTCATTATGTGCCTTAGAAATTTCAACTGCCTCTTCCTGATGTCTTTTTTGTGTCATTGTCTTTAGAACCTTGTTGTTGCTCACATGTTCGGTCTATTGTATCCTCAATGTCTTGCTGTAGAACCACGTTTCTGTTGCTTGAAGTCTTCTTATTGAGGAGATTGTCTAGCATTCACTGCCATATAGGAGGACTAATACTAACAGTTCAGTACTCTTCTTTGTTTTTAATGATATTTTTCTGTTTCTTAATACTTTGCTCAGCTTGTGGAAGGCATCTTTTGCTTATCCTAATATGCTTTTGGATTTCTGTGTTGCACTTACTGTCCTCTGTTAATATTCAGGGTTCATACAGGTCCTGGAAACCTTGAAAAGCCCTGGAAAACAGCAATAGCCCAAAAGCTACTTGAAAAGTCTTGGAATTTTCTAAATTGGGTTGCTTACACATCATTGTTTTCAATTAATGAAAGTCAAAATGTGCAATCTCAGAAATCTGGCTTTTTTACAAGCTAAAATTGTTCTTTACAAAATGTTTTTTAGTCATCAGTAATATTTGGCAATTATTGCGAATGGTGGTTTTTTATTAGAACAAGTTCATGACCTCGTAGTTACTTTTGTATTTTCCCCGTCTAGGTGATGAGAAAGAAAGGGCAAAAGAATATGAAGACCTGTTTTCAAGCTGCTATCCTCACTCTACAAGAAAAGGGGGAAAAGAAAAGATAAGACATCAGTGACAAGTAAACTAAACATCTGTTGAAGATAAATTAATTCACACTCATTGAATTTGTAGTTGAAAGGAAAATAATAAATTATTTTACAGTAATAAAATACATTTTAGTAGAATCTTGAAAGATTTATCAGTGTTTTTTAAAATTTGAACAATTGAAGAAATTTTATTCACATGTCAATTTCAAAAATAAAAAGCCTTTCGATCTCTAGTCATCAATAGATGAATTCATGCTGAAAAAAATAGATATTTTACGCGTCATGTGTCAATGTGTATCTATGTGTAAACTATTTGTCTAAATTGTTGCCAAAAGTAACAAGTTTGAGAATCAAATTTGACTCAAAGAAAATGTTGTTGGGAAGGATGATATAATAGAAAATGTGTCTTTGAGAGAGAATGCGTCCGTGAAAAAATAAATTATTGCACCTGTTTGATTTCATTATCTCCAATCTGTAATTTGCATGTTGGCCTGTACCTTTTGCTAACAACCATGCATTCAGTCTTCTTGCAGTTGATGCTTAATCCTTTCTTCTCACTTTCTTTCACTACCTTCTGTAGGAGTTCTTGTAGATTCCTTTCTGTATCTGCTATCAACACTGTCATCAGCATATCTTATGTTAAGATTGTGGTTACCAATAATGAATCTTGGTAGGACTTCTAATTCTCTTGGAATGAAATATAGGGATTATTACTAAAGCTTGATTAATGCCTTAGAAATCGTCTCTGTAATTAGTGTTGTTCACTCTATTGAAAATTCTCTAGTATTAAAAAGAATGCTTGAATAAGTAAACTTAAATATTTTAAAAACTGTAAAATGATGATCATCTTTTCAATTGTTTTTGCTTTCTTAATTTTTAGAGCCCAGCTAAGACAAAAGAAGAAAAACCTGCCAGTCCAGTTATTCCTTCAGCTCCCATGATTCCAATCTCAACAGAAAAACAGGAAGAATTAGCTAAAGCAGCAATGGCTTACCAAATCTTGGATGACATCATTGATGATGTGATAAAATCCACAACTGTTCAACCATCTATTCCAGCTGTTGTGTATGATACTGTTAGTGATGTGGTGGAGGAAGCTCGTGACCTAGAGGACCAGTTGAGTCCAGTTGAGGAGGTCACTTGGGATGCAGACATAGATAAAGATATTTCAGTTGCTAGGAAACAAGATATCTACTTGCCAGACAGTGCCTTAGAGAAGATGGAAGTGCAGGAGGTGAAGGTGGATATTTCTGATGAGACAGAAGAAAACAAAGTGCCTGAGATGCACAAGGATGTGAATTCTGTGATTACAATTAATGGACAGATGGTGCCAGAATTGGTGGCCAATGGCCATGTACCAGGAATTGACAAATCTATTTCTGGTCAGACCAACATATCTGAATCAAAACCACAGCCAGTTCAACACACAGACTTAGACACATTTGAGACTAAGACAGAAATTTCAAATCCAGATGATGAAGAACACTTAAAGGATTCTGAAACCATGACTTCAATCAGTAGTTATGATAGAGATGAAAGGAAGCCTGATGGAGGTCATGTTTTACGATATAAGCAGAAGAATAAAGTGGTAAGTGATGTTTTTTTCCCCATTGTTTTTTGTATGATTGTGTGGAGGAAATTTTTGCCTTTTTCATCTAATTTTGTGTGGAAAAATACCCTGAAAGAATTATAAGGAGTGTTATCTCCAAAATGAAGAATAAATACAATTTATTTATACTATTCCTTTTTTATAACATAATTTATACAAATGTACAGCTAAATCTGAATTGGGACAATTTCTTGAAGGCTATTACAATTTGAATGAAGAATGTTTGAAATGTCTTTTGTTTTACGTCTTAATATTGTTCTTAAAAGAAAAAAATATTTTTAAATAATTTTTTTTTATTTTGAAAGAGAAAGTAATTGATGCTCACTTTGACTTAGAAGTTGACTTTAAATCTTGGAATATGTTAGATGAAAATGAACATAGAAACCTTTGCAAATGTACCAAATAGATGAATTGGAAATATTTCAGATCTTAAGCTGTTGCCTATCATTGTTTTATTCAGTGAAGAGGCTTAAGGCCATATCACATTGAAACACTAGTTCTTGTACAATCACTGAAGTTAAGCAATGTCAAACCTAGTCAGTACCTAGATGAGTGACCACTTGGGTTATATTCACTTACATGCAAATATCCTTGAGAAAGGTATGAATCCACCTCTTCTCCTCCCAGCTATTTGTTAAGTAGTAGGACTTGTCAGTAAATCATTATTATCTTAAAAAATAATTCTTATGCTCTAAAAATATTTTCTGACTTTAAATAACCTGCAAAAGGTTGATAAGCCATAAGAAACAAATCAATCAGTTAAAAGAATGATAACGGCCACCAAAAGGGAGGAGTAAAAATAAGGAAAGCAGCAAATATCTGATTTTTGTTTTTAATCTTTTTAAGTTTTATTCTTTCTTTACATGACACTTATGTACAGTAAGTATTTACTATTGTCATTCATGCAGCTTTATGATATTTCTAGTATAAAATGTTTTTTCTGATTCAAAATTGTGCTAGGAAAAAGATTTTAAGATTGTTTTTGAGCTCTCAGAATGCTAATCTAAAATGTCTTGAAAATATTATACATTGATTTGCTCAAACTAATGTGTCCTCATCTTGGCTGTTGTATTTGTTGGCCTTTTTCAGGTGTTTGCCATAGTTGGCAACTTTCTGACGATCTTGAAATATACTTTATTCAATCCACAGGAGTAGATATAAAATGTCCTCTAGCATGGTCAGCAGAATGAGAATTGTCTATGTTAGCCGCCTGAAAGATGCCATAGAATACAATAGCTCAAAAGTTGCAATGATAACAACCAAAATGAGGACAATAGTCCAAGAAAATCAGTGTATAAAAATTAATTCATCTTCAACATAAAAATAAGACAAAAAATGTCTCGTAAATATTTGTCTAGATTTATTTCTATATAAGGGAAAAAAAAAGAAAACTTTGCCAAAAATCACTATCCAATTTGTAACTGCTTTGATCTTTTGAACATATGACTTCATAATTTAATCTTAGAGATGACTACTGATACCCCAGAAATTTATGATGATTAAATATGTCTTTCTAAAATTACCCTCTACTCAGAAAAAAATAGTTAATTGGTTTTGGCTGGTGTGATTTTTTTTTTCCAATGTTGCTTCAGTTGTTTCTACAAAAACTACTCTCTCAAAAATGTGGTCAACAAAAATTTATCACTTGGGTGATTGTGCAAGGTTATCTTTTATTTATTTAGTAATGGATTTGCAAACTGGTTGAGTTTCTGAATCTGCCTAGCAACCCTGGAGCCATGTTTCTGCAAAAGTTTGATGGAAAAATCTATTTTCAAGTTGGGTGAACAGCCAATTTAGTGAAGAACTTCCATTTTATGAGTGAATTCAGTTGTATTGGATCTTCATTGCTGTGTAATATTCTATCAACCTATTGCTTGGATAAAATTCTGTCTAGAATTTTCAATCAATAACTAAAGACCAAGTGATTGACATTGTCTTCATGCTTATTTTAATTCAAACTCTGCAAATAATAAACATTTTAGTATGAAACTGCTGTAAGCTTTATTGAAATGTCACTGTCATTTGTTGAACATATTACTACGTAGTGCACTCTTAATGTGATATTAGACTATGAAATAGATTTTTAGCAGCCAGGAATACCTATGCTGGTTTGAACAGAATGATTGTCTATAGTAGTCATTTTGATATTTTAGCAGAGGAAAAGTATTTAATGAGATTGCAAAAAGAAAATTTTGTTCAACATCCAGGTATTGTTGATACTCAGTTTTATTTTGAATATAAATATTTCCTATCTCTTTCTGTTCTTAACAAAAGTCAGAATTTTTTTTTTTTTTTTTTAACTAATCTAAAAAGTGTAGAAGAGAAACCATTTAATGAAGGTAAGCAGTAATTTATGATTAAAAAATTTGATTTTTGGTTAAAATATAACTTAAGATCTTAGAGGATACTCTGAATTATATAACTTAAAATCAAGTGTAAGGAAATCACAGTGATTTATAGTAATTGAGGTATACAATTGTGAAGTGTGGTTACAGAATTTGCCTGCAGCAGGAAAGGCTTTTATCAACTTGCTCATCACTGATTGTATAGATTGTACTCTAATCCTTGAGGACGAGATTATCTGTAGCTGATCAAAGCTGACTGCATCTGCTTGGTTAACTGTGAGAAATGTTTGTTAATCTCCAAAGGCTTCAACATCCATTGGGAATTAACTTTTCTCAATATTCTCAAACCAAAGTCTTTTTAATATCTCTATTGGAATTATACAGTCCAATAAACTGGACCATAAATTGCTTCTGAATATTTATGAGAGATCTTAGAGAAAGAAAGATTTTAGGTCAAGAGGAAGCCAGCTCATGTATATTCTGTACTCTTAGGATTATTTTAAATGATTTGTTATTGCTTCTATGATTGTTATGAGATTTTGTACAGTCTGAATTTGTGGATACAAGAAATATAGTAAAAACATGTCAATTGTTCTTGGATTTAGAAAGATAGGGATGAAAAGTAATCTCTTTGATGTTATAGTTAGTGCTTTAAATTTAGCTATATAGATTTTTAAAAAGTTTTCATTAAAAAAAGCAACAAATTTGAAATGTATAGATATTTAGAAGGAAGCAATATTTCTTAATTTACAACCTTTGAAAAAATTATGTTTTTCTATGGAATGATCAGAAATATTTGTAAAACTGATCAGCTGTAATAATAATTGGCTGTTTTGTTAAATCATATGTGTTCTTTTAACTCTGTAATTGCAGCAGACATTTTTATTATTTGTAGTTGAGCCATAGAACTGCAGTGATGGAAATTCCCATCACCTGTAGTTAATATAAAGTTGTGTTGAAGTGAATAATTGTAAACAAATGATAATTTGACTAAAATTGTGAAAGTTTTGAGATGAGGAATTATCATTATAGGATTTGTCTTTCTATTCAGACCAGCATGCTCATCTTGGTTGTTACATTCATAACATTTTAGTAGCTACATTCTTCAGCCTTCTCCAGGTCTTTGTCTTGGAATTTTGAACTGTGTCCTTTAGTCTATCCATGGTGGTAGATTGTTCTCATTCTACTTTCTATATTTAGAGGTATCTCATATGAGTTAATTTTTATCTAATCTAGTCTATAGAAAAGGATGGTTATGGAGATTGAAAGAATCAGCAGACATTATACTCTGACAACCCTCTCAGTAGACCTAGCATAGATATGAACACTATCTAGGCACCTCTGATTCAGAAAGACTCTGCATCATCATCTTAGTGTAGATATTAATTTTATCTCCAAAATTGTTATTGGATTGTCCCCAAAATACATGGCCTAGAGGATTAAAAGTATATCTGTTTTCATGGCAGTTGTGAGTTCAATCTTTAGGTCAAGTGCAGAATCTTTGGTTCACTTGAAGAAACAGACACATGACACAAAGATGAATACAGGAATTAATGGATACAAGATATTCCTTAAATATGGAAAGTGGAATGAGAACAATCTATCCCTGTGGATTGAATAAAGGGTTTCATTTTTGAGAAGATTACCAAACAAACACCTGAAGAAGGGGTGGTCAACAGCAGAAACATGAATATAATAATAAAGATGAGCATACTGATCTGATCAGAAAGGCATAAAATAATGAGCAGTTAAAACTGGGAGGAAAAATGACCATGAAATTTAATTTTCATATCATTTATAATTGTCATCTCTCAGCTGTGTCACAAAAGGAGTCTGAAAAATGATTCATTTGAGATGGAGTTGAAAAAACTAGCAAGGATGAGAATATTTTGTAGAATGAAGACATTTTTTTGTTGCTTCATTGAAATGACATGAATAGAAGGAATTATTTTATGTTAAAAAAAAAAATTTGTTGTATTTTTTTTCTTAATTCATGTAGGTTAAGTCTAATCACAGATTTTTTATAAGTTTTCTATTTGTCTTTAATCCACCAAAAAATTGATTTATAAAAATCTATATATTGGTAAAAATGTTGGACATGAATTTAATATTCAGAATGTTGTTAACTGGGATACTGGTTTGCATAGCAGTTATAGCATGCAAAACTGAATTGACAAATTGAGCTTGAATTTCCGTTGAGGTTACGTATTTCTGCTTTGCACTAATGTTATTGGGAAAAGGCATACGTTCATTTATCCCTGGCCTCTGTCTATATCTACATACCATGACAAAATTTCATTGTTTATTTTATCTATTTTTAAAAAGTTCCTGTGTCATTTTCTGCTGGCATATTTAATTTTTTTTTTCTGTTCAAACTTAATGTAATAATTTATAAGAGAACTTTTAAAAAGTAAAAGAAAAATTACACTGTTTTTGTTCTTTCTACTTATTACATCTTATGGTGGTTAGCTTTTGATTTTGTTACTAAACCTGAATAATTTACTGTAAGTATCACCAACCTTTTCTGTTGAGAGATGCCAAAACATCAGAGATTCTTAGAAATGTGTTACTTCATTCTCTACCATATTTGATTCATTTCTTATTAACATCTATAAAATAAATTACTTTATTTCT